CGACTATCAACAAAAATTTATCACTGACACAACGAACAAGCTATAACGCACGACAGAACACTGTAATATTTATATAACGTATTACTACAGAGCTCGTACTACTGCAAATGATTACAATGGTATTGTTGCACTGAATTTGATAACTCAAACACACAAGTGACGTCACATAAATACATTACGTGCACATTACAAACATAGCCTGTTTTCCACTTCGTAGCGTACCGTACCCTAACGTACCAAAACAAATTTTAAATTTCAAAATTTAGCGAATGTTGATTCGTGGATACTTCCATAGTACGCCAAAAAGTTGACTTGAGGCGAACTTTTAATTTTGATACGCGAATCAGCCGGAAGTACGTAAATATGATAGCTCGTCTTTAACCTGCGCATGCTTATCGGTACGTTTCAGTACGATACGGAGGCTGTTTTCCACTAGGAGGAATTTTGCGGGGGGAGCGAATTTCTCTTTGTTTGTGAGCGCTCTGTGAAAAGGCAAAGAAAAATTCCGCTCTGCGCGCAAAATTCCGCCAGTGGAAAACAGCTTTTAATCTGAATTATGTCGCAACACCGTTAGGGGCAAAAATGCAAATTACAAAGCGGCTTCAGCGACAATATACAGACTGTAGCCTGAAGGCCAAAAGCTCGTTTCTACAAAAAATTATACTAGAAATACATGCATGCAAACCCTCGCAGTTACTTTGTAAAACCGCTTCACTTCACCGCCTATAACACGCGGCGAGTAAATATGAGTTGTCACAATGTCCCATAGCCTGCTTGCCGCCTGAATTTTCCAGGCGGCAAACAGGCTAAATGTCCCACAAAGCTAGTATAAACACAATCGTTGTTCTTGATTCGTTAAAAAAGACTTCGCAAAATGATTTAAAGCCTTCTGCTATAGCGATAATACATGCTCATCGATAAATTGCCTTATGTTCTGTTTTTGAAATTCAACCGGGTCCACTTTTATAATGAATTCTGTGAAAAATGTTTTATCTTATTATGGTTTTATGTGCATTGTAGGCTTTGATGTAATACTGGAAGTTGTCCGCCATGTCGGTCTACCAAAACGAAGCCCGAGTAACACGCAGAAGCAAGGTAGGGTTTTAAGTAAATGTTGGTGTCTGGTATTTATTCTCTTTGTTAAAATCATTTTAATTGCATGTTTTGGGGCCGGTTGTACGAAGGACGGATAGCGCTATCCACTGGATAATCAAATTTTAACAGACATAAAAATGCTTTGAAAGCCATAAAACTACGGATTTGGAGCTAACACATAATAAAAAAGAAATCCTCAATTTATAAAAGAAACAAGATTTCATCTGGGTTATACCAAAACGACCAGATTTAGACAGTAGCGATTGATACACCAGGCGGAAAGCGTAATTTAAATATGAAAATTAAAGCCCAGCAGACTTTCAGACAAGACATAACAAAAATATAAAAATTTATTGGCTATCGTTTCGTTGTATTGTCCACAACATCTTCAGAGCAATTAACCTTATTTACAAGTTACAAGCGTATATTATATATATATATATATATATATATCAAGTCCACACAATGTTTTCCCATTATTTTCATCTGAAAATGAAGAACTTTATGAAATTTACTAAATCACATTGAAAAACAAAACTCAAACTTTATAGAACATATCAGAATATACCGAGAAACACAAAGAGTAAAGAATTATAAGGAAGAATTGCACGTTCCCACAATGACACTTGAAGAGTTTTAAAATGCAACATCCTTAATTTTTTAAATGAGCATTTTATTACCACACCCGCTGACCTGAATAACAAAGTCCCATTGTGCTGTGTTTGTTTCTGACCTGTACACAGTTTTAACACAAACTTTAACGTCTATTTTTAAATTTAATTTACATTTCAGGGATCTCGCGTTGCGAGAGGCTCTCGTATATATATATATATATATATATATATATATATATATATATATATATATATATATATATATATATATATATATATATATATATATATATATATATATATACCAAGTTCACACAATGTTTTCCCATTATTTTCATCTGAAAATGAAGAACTTTATGAAATTTACTAAATCACATTGAAAAACAAAACTCAAACTTTATAGAACATATCAGAATATACCGAGAAACACAAAGAGTAAAGAATTATAAGGAAGAATTGCACGTTCCCACAATGACACTTGAAGAGTTCAGTGTAAAAAATGTGTAAGAAATGCAACTATCATTGTGGGAACTTATGTAAGAATTTTTACATAATGTGGACTTGCATTTTAAGTCCACACAGTGCTATACCTGTAATACACAAAGTCCCATTAATGCTTCTGTTTGTTTCATGACCTGTACACAGTTTTTAACACAAAATCTCAAATGAGATTTTTAAAAATTATCGTTTTGTAGCTGGGATCTAAGTAGTCTGCGAGCAGGCTCTCGTATATATATATATATATATATATATATATATATATATATATATATATATATATATATATATATATATATATATATATATATATATATATATATATATATATATATATATATATATATATATATATATATATATATATATATAATGCGTGTAGGCGAAACAATGCTTAGGCGAAACAATTGGTGCTTAGGCGAAACAGTGGTTAGTCGAAACAATGCTTGGGTCATAAAATTTTGTTAACGACCTTGTTTACTCGAAACCGGTTTTTGTGACGACACTTGCCGAAAATTTCGCTTCTTTTATTGAGTAAATTATCTTTGTTTGTGTCTTTCAAAATGGCGCTACTCGGCCTTCAACCGGTCCGTAGTAATTTCAGACAACAATTGGTCGTAAAAACTCTATCGGATATTCAAATAAGTGATCAATGGTTTTGAAATCTCAATATTCGGTATAATAGTGCAGGAGAACAATATACAGAATGGTGAAAAATGTTACAAATTTTCAGCAAAAATATGAGAGATTTGTTTCATTATTATCCAAATCAAGATCTGGCTAGCTTTACCGGACAAGGTCAAATGCCCTCTACTGGACAAAAATTATCCGATTGCATGCAATAACTGGTAGAGTTTCCCAATTGCCTTATACATTGATCGACCCCAAATTACCATCATCACTATTAATAATATAACAACCACATTGTTCCCAATCTGCCAAAACCTACGACTTCTAACTAACGAAAAAGGTGCAGTTCGCGATATACTTATTGTCTTGATGCTGACCTATACCCCGGGCATGATATTTAATATGTAAAAAGCATTGCCAATCAGGTCCAACCAAAGCGTCAGCGTTATTGATATGAAGTTCATACATGCATATTAATGCCACATATTAATGTTAATATTAATGATGAAAAAACAATATTGTATAATAATGCAAAAAATGCATGGTAAAACTTTACTACCAAAGCAATATTTGTAAACAATACCATATTTACCGCGTTATAGAGACGAGGACAGTTTTTGCTTCCTGACGACCAAGAACACCTTGAAGAAAGATACATCAATGATCATATTGGTACTAGACAAGCATATACGTTAATTTTATTAATTGACTTTAAAATATTACTGCGCTCAGGGGTTGGCACAAATCTTGTTAAAATATAATATTATTATATATACATACCGTGCTATACGCTTTATGCAACTGTTAAATATAAGTCGTGTTAGTTGTCGAAACTATCCGATACGATATTTCTCACATGTGAAAAAACCCGTCCGACCAATGCTGCCAGGGCCTTTTTTAACATACAAGCTGGGGGGGGGGGGGCATTTTTCCTTTATTTATTTCAAATACAAGTGTAGTTAGGATAAATTTTGGAGCAAATTTGGATGCTCAGAATGCAGGAAATGACATTTCCGGGGTTCAAATTTCAAAAATTTTCTGGGGGAGTACACCCCCCAGACCCCCCCCCCCCCCTCCCTGGTATATTTGCCACACACGTGGCTTTCAGCCATTGCTATCCCCCTCTAATATGTTATCTCACAGAAAGGTCCCTTTTCAAAAAATGCCCCCCCCCCACGGGAAAATCCTTAAAAAAGGCCCTGAATGCTGCGGACGATTCTTTTCACATGTGAAGAGATAAATTATTTCGCTCGCGAAAACAAAGTACAAAAATGGCTTCCTGTTTTGTCGACGTTCAAGTTACTGTCGAAGAAACTATCGATGAGCAAGAAAATGAAAACGCAACGAAGAAAACTGAGCAAAACGTTTCATTGTTTAAAGAATTCGTTAGCACTTAAACCAAAAAATACCAACGGAGAAAAAAGAATTGTGGTTTTAGTAAAATGAAAAATCTGCCCTTTGAAACCTTCTCAATCTTGTAAAAGCAGTTAGACCGCTTAAGTTTTAGCAGTTAAGTTTTTCATGGTTAGACACTTTTAAAAGTGTTTTATTTGTTGTTGGATTTCTTTAACTGCTTTATGATTTTATGCTTCGTGCATGGTTAGCTCGTTTGTACGATTTTTATATCAGTCACTCTATACAAAGGATCGCTCAACTCGTTCGTTAGCGATCTTTCACAACTCGTGAATAAAAATCCTACGTTTTAGACGTTTTACACTAGAGCAAAAGTTTCCGGATTCATAAAAGTATCCGGATTTGTTGTTTATGAAGCATTAGTGAATTGTTCGGATTCGATTAAAATAAAATATTACACTTGGAACTACTGTGCATAGCGGAAAGGTTACCAAGCACATTGTGCTGTTCGTGCAAATTTCGATTTCGAATTTTCGACACAGCAAAGTTGTTGAAAGTACTGCGAATTATGCCTTCTAAAAAGAAAGCAAAGACTCAATCTACACAAGAAATGTATTTATGGAAAACTAACATCAGATAGATTGCATAACAAAGTAACGATTGCATTTAACAAAGTAACGATTTTGACAATGCCTGTGTTGTCCGCCAATTTGAATTTTTGATATTCGGATTCGTCGAAGAAAGCGTTTACACGCGAAATTTCTTCGGATTGACATGCTTCCGGATACAAAGTTCCCACAAACTTTTCCGGATTCAAAGTTTCCGGATTTGTGCTCTATCCGGGGTAGTTTTTCATCGGATTCGTCCCCACTAATGTAAACGGCAAAACGAATCCTATAACGGGCCACGTATTTGGCTGTTGCATTATTGATACTTATCGTTCTCGTAACTATACGAGTTATGACTTCCAACATTACGCGTGAAGAAGAAACTTTAATATATAAGCATACACAAAGTTATTAAAACGGGAGAGACATTTCTTTCACCAAAAAACCGTAAAAGCCAATATACTTTTCAACTGAAAAGACCGCGGTACATAGCTCAAAAAGTCACGTACACATTATGTAACTCGGCGTCTTTTAAGACTTACAACACGTGTAACAGGTCCACTCGTAATAGTAAGAGGTGTTTAATGCAACTGGCCCTTGGCAATTGCCAGCTACTATAATTATAAACTTTATACATACATTAAAGCCATTTCTACAAAAACATCTTTCAGGTCGAGGAGTCTTCACCACGAGAAGATTTTCCAAAGGCGATTTCCTTCTAGAATATAAAGGAGAGTTGGTATCTCATAAAGAAGGTTGCGAAAGAGAGATAAGCTACCCTGAGGACCTTGGAAGCTATCTTTTCTTTTTCCAACATGGAAATAACTCACTATGGTACGTCACGCAAAATATATTTCACTGCATCTAAGTCTCTACTAAATTTGCAATAACATAAAATCAATTCGTGAGATATATCTCAACATTTAATTACACCGAAAAATCGACTATGCTGCTTTTTGGCTGAGAAATTACTAAATTTCACTAAGTGGCCATTTATATGGAGCGGAGTTACCCGTGTAACCGGGATGATTCGTTTCTTGAAAACTCGGACGAAAAATAGGTGTATGGAATAGCCGCTTTAGCCTTTAGGTTAGGTGTAAACTTACCGTAGAGTTAGTTAAAACATTCTTAAGGGCAAGAAAAGATTTTCGTGACTTAAATCAACTCGGTTAGCCGGGTAACCCCTCCAGGTTTTATCGTCACTATTATTAATTTTTTACTATCATTTCAGTTATTTTTTGATATTATTTATCTGAGTTCATTTAGTAGCTCGTAATAAGTAATTTATTGTTTGTTTTTTTGACAAATATCAAAAACTGTTGCCAAAAAGTACTTCATCTTGATTTGTTTGACTTGTTTCGTTTCACTTTAACTTGAAGTTTTGCCTCATAAAAATGTCTTACGGTTTCATCAAGGTAACAAAGCAAAACGTATATTATTGGCAATATTTATTGTACATTGCACATGACTGTTTGAAAAAGGGTGGTCAAGGCGGATTTCCAGTTCTCGCACGAAGCTCCATGCAGCTTGCTTGCATCTGATTAAAATTGAACGTAAAGCATTGTGATTGGATTAAAGAAATTCGCAGCGAGCTGTGAAGAGCTTAATTAGTTCGAGAGATTCCGCCCTAAGCCTGGTTTACATACAATCGCGAATGTCGTGAACAAATCAGAATGAACGATGCGAAATACTTTAGGTCTTAATTTTGCTCCACTTTTTAAAGAACATTTAAATCAATCTAAAATAATCGCAGTGTTTATCTATTTATGTTCTTTTTCATCAGCTATTCTGATGTGCTTACGACAGTCACGACCAAATAAAAACTATGGAGGCTCAAATGGAGGCTCAAATGCATATTATGCTCCTCTACAAAACGACTGCTATATAAATTAAGTGAAATTATATAGTGTGGATGCAACATATTCAGCTTGTCTTGGAAGACTCGTTAATGATGCTGAGGCGAGGAACGCAAATTGTCTCATGAAAAAAATTATTATCAATAGTCGACCTCATTTAGCAATTTATGCTAAAAGAAATTTAAGTACAAACGAAGAGTTGCGTTATGATTATGGTGTGAAGGACCTTCCGTGGCGAATTAAAAAAGGTATAAATGGTAATATATATTATAAAAGTAAATTTTTTCCAGCTTACCCGACAATCTTAACGCACAAGAACAACGAAGATGTTAAACTATGCTCTTGCATGGTTAAGATTGATATACTGTATGCATGCATCTTTCTACACTTAAAACTTTCGTTCAAATATACCTGATAAAGGCAAAACTTGATTAACTGCACGTGTTATTCTATTAAATCTGGTGAAGTAGTTTTCTTTCATCGCACAGAAGAGGGAAGTAGTAAAGATAAGAATAAAATATTTCAGCATGCACACCTGACAACTTTATTTCATTATCCTACTGCATGTAGGTCAACGGAACAAATCTGATAACAATTGTGCCACGTATTCTCCAAATCATTTGGAAGATCACGTTCCAGGTAGCTACATATACAATATATATACAAAACATTGTATATACAATAGTATATACAAAGTTATTATCTAAAAATATAAAGGGCGTCACTATATATAAGTTATATTATACTGCATGATTGCTAAATATAAGATGTAACAATAGGAGCCTAAATTGCAACTCAAATTGCATGACATTTGAACACTCATACCCAGAGAAGCAATTAAACAAATGCCATCAAAGAAATAAGCTTTTTCTCTGTCTTCTCTTTACAACAGGTTGACAGTGTTATTTATTTTGCAGAGCATTCAAAACACAAAAATGAAATATTGTCAGTAATTGAAATACCAGAGCAGCCAGACGAAAATGTTATAGGTATGTCAAAACTTCAAGTTCAACCATGCAAAGGCCTGGTGTCCACGAGAGTTGATCTGAGTTATACAGAATATAGTTCTCATTTGATATTGATTGCCAACTCTCGTCCATCCATATTTAGTATAAACCTACTAGTAGGCTATCACATATATCGTGCCTTCTGATTGGCTACGCTACTAGTAGGCTATTAGTGATAGCCTATACTAATAGAAAATTCAAAATGGCGGAAAATTCCCGTTTTGCACTTTTGCCGAAGTGTCTGATGATTTTTTGGACGACTTGTTGAACAATTCTGTACTAAAAAACTCCGAAAAAAGCAACAAAAATATGGAATGGCAATTTTTTAATTTTTAAGAAAATAGACAAAATAACATACACTCAATGAAATTTTAAAACTATTAAAACTGAATTTTGTAAAACATTTTACGCGAACAAACACTAAAATATTTGTTTAGCTTTAATGGTTTCATAATGTTTTTTGTGTATTTTTGTATTGTGTTTGCAGCCTAGTTGTAAATTAATGTTAAAGTTTATACTATAAAACAATTAGACAACTCAGCCTCGTTGTCTATGAGCGAATAGTCAACGAGGCGAAGCCGAGTCGGCCTCGTTGTCTAATTGTTAAATAGTCACGCACAATTATCAACTACAAACTGCATGACTCAAATTTTGATGAGAGACGATGAGAGTTTACCGTGTTTGACCGGTCATGACAGTTTTTAAGAGTTACCCCAGTTGGGATCAATTGCTCCAAAAAACTCCTAAATTGCAACAAGTCTATTCTCAAGATTTCGTTGTATGCCGAAATATCTTTTATTGTTAGTTGCTTGAAGATATTTGCAAAATAACCTCCCTCCTTCTGTCGTATTATTCATAACATTATAGTGACTTTCTTCGCTACGACACTCGCAGCCTGTTACACAAATTCTTCAATTAATAATATTAAAACTCTTTGTTGCAAACTCTCGTGGACTCTCATCCTCATTTGAACTGGTCTTAAAAATTATGTTACAACTGCGCGCCTCATTATTACAAATTATAACAATTTTTTTCAGCTTAGCATGACAATGTTTTCTTACTTTTGCAGGTCAAAAGAACAACCCGGATAACATTTCTGCTGCGTATTCACCTGATCACTTGAAAGATTATGCTCCACGTATGTTAAAGCTTATAGATTGCTATAATGGAGACTTTCTTTACCGTGTGCATGAAAGATATAGAATTTTTCGATATAAAACAATGAAAGCAGTTATTTTCAAGGAGTGTTATTGGGCAGTATATAAGGAAAATTTATAAGTATAAATCTGGGCATTGCTGTTAGCTATATAATAGAGTTTCCAAACGGCGATACCTTTTTGTGATAACGTGACGAAGTTTACGCTCATATTTAGGACAAGAAAATGACAACCCTGCCATCAGTGCATTGGTCTCCATGGAAATTGATGATCATACCCAGGTTACCAGTAAGTAAAATTTGTAAAATCAATGTAGCACACATAACACCGCGGAAAAACGTCTGCGCATGCGTCAACCTTACCTGTAATAGTATTGCGAACTTGATGAGAAGCTGTTCCGAACGTTTCCGAAGGCTCAAAATGGCGGTAAAAAGGAGTGACTTCATTGTGCGTCTTTACAGCCAGATTTCGAGCGCAAAAATAAACATGTCATTCTAAAAACTAGGAATAAATACAGCCAGAAGGTTCAAGAAATTGTATTGTACAAGAACATGAACTAAAGGTGATTGTTGACAAATTTATCGTCTGAAACATTTTGTTTATCAACTAAGCAACGACAATTTCCGAATTTTCGTTTGAGATACATTTCTTTAAAAAAAACTGTGTCGCCAAATATAAAAAATTTTCGTGTTCACAATAATTAAACTTTAGGATTTATTCTACAATTTGAGTGGGTTAAGAAGCTTAACTTTTCGAGAGTTTTCTTAACTTTTGAGTTTGAATTTTTGTTTTGAATAATTTTGCAAAAATTTTCGAAGTCGTGTCCGTTAAAATCAACAATTTTTTACATGAATTCTATTTCATTCCATACTTTAAATGCCAGGACGCTTTCAATTAATGTCTAGTCTACCCATTTGCTATATTTTCTCGTTTGTTTTACTAATTTTTGACCAATTAATAAGCATGTTTTTGTTTTAGAAATTGATATTCAAATTCCCCGCCATATTTTCATAATTTGGTGCATGCGCAGACGTTTTTCCGCGGTGTTAGCACACATATTTATGCTTACGGGGACTTAATAGCCACTTCATGCGCAGCCATGAAGAATAACAGTCATATATATCAGTGGACAGAGATCGGACAAATGCTAAATTTCATATATATACAAAAAGAAACATACAACAACGGGACAGCAAGTAAAAAGTTCTAACGGAGCATGGACTTAGAACCGAACATATAGTTGTTGCAAATTCGGTACAAAATTAACTTAATTATTCCACGATTCAGTTGAAAAATGTGAAGCAAAACATCATGCGATTGTATATAAACAAAACCAAGCAAACAATCTTAATGTTTTTAAAGTTGATTTCTAAGCATGACATGAATGAGTTTTACCTATTTTACTTCAACTAACATCAAACCACCACTGTTTTCAAATCTTTTTAGTTGATCAATAAGCATATAATTGTAAGTTGCCGAAATGTGACGTGTATATTACCTAATATTTCTAGTAGATTTTTGTTTTCATCGCACAAAAGACGAAAGTAGTAAAGATAAGAATAAAATATTCAGCTCACCTGAAAACTTTAATTCATTATCCTACTGTAGGTCAACAAAACAACACTGATAACAATGGTGCCACGTATTCTACAAATCAGTTGGAAGATAACGTTCCAGGTAGCTATATGTGTTAAAATTCATATATAATAGTTTCATATAAGGAACTTTCTATAAAATGTATCTTAATTAAAAGGAATAAATAGTATATACAAAGTTATTATTCACAAATATAAAGGGTATCACTGCTGGTTATACCATATTGATTGCTAAATATAAGACGTAACAATAGGCGCCTAAATTGCAACTCAAATTGTATGACATTTGAACACTCATACCCAGAGAAGCAATTAAACAAATGCCATCAAAGAAATAAGCTTTTTCTTTGTCTTCTCTTTACAACAGGTTTACAGTGTTATTTATTTTGCAGAGCATTCAAAACACAAAAATGAAACATTGTCAGTAATTGAAATACCAGAGCAGCCAGACGAAAATGTTATAGGTATGTCAAAACTTCAAGTTCAACCATGCAAAGGCCTGGTGTCCACGAGAGTTGATCTGAGTTATACAGAATATAGTTCTCATTTGATATTGATTGCCAACTCTCGTCCATCCATATTATAGTCATGCACAATTATCAACTACAAACTGCATGACTCAAATTTTGATGAGAGACGATGAGTGTTTACCGTGTTTGACCGGTCATGACAGTTTTTAAGAGTTACCCCAGTTGGGTTCAATTGCTCTAAAAAACTCTTAAGTTGCTACAAGTCTATTTCCTTGTATGCCGAAATATCTTTTATTGCCAGGTTGCTTGAAGATATTTGCAAAATAATCTCTCTCCTTCCGTCGTATTATTCATAACATTATAGTGACTTTCCTCGCTTCGACACTCACAGCCTGTTCCAAAAATTCTTCAATTAATAAAATTAAAACTTTGTTGCCAACTCTCATGGACTCTCATCCTCATTTAAAATTGTCTTAAAATTATGTTACAACTGCGCGCCTCATTACAAATTATAACAATAATTATTTTCAGCTTAGTGTGACAATGTTTTCTTACTTTTGCAGGTCAAAAGAACAACCCGGATAACATTTGTGCTGCGTATTCATCTGATCACTTGAAAGATTATGCTCCACGTATGTTAAAGCTTATAGATTGCTATAATGGAGACTTTCTTTAACGTGTACCTGAAAGATATATAATTTTTCGATATAAAACAATGAAAGCAGTTATTTTCATACAATATTATTGGGCAGTATATATAAGAAAAATTTATATATCATATCTGGGCATTGCTGTTAGCTATATAATAGAGTTTCCAAACGGCGAGACCTTTTTGTGATAACGTGACGAAGTTTACGCTCATATTTAGGACAAGAAAATGACAACCCTGCAATCAGTGCATTGGTCTCCATGGAAATTGATGATCATACCCAGGTTACCAGTAAGTAAAATTTGTAAAATCAATGTAGCACACATATTTATGCTTACGGGGACTTAATAGCCACTTCATGCGCAGTCATGAAGAATAACAGTCATAGATATCAGTGGACAGAGATCGGACAAATGCTAAATTTCATATATATACAAAAAGAAACATACAACAACGGGACAGCAAGTAAAAAGTTCTAACTGAGCATGGACTTAGAACCGAACATATAGTTGTTGCGAATTCGGTACAAAATGAACTTAATTATTCCACGTTTCATGTTGAAAATGTGAAGCAAAACATCATACGATTGTATATGAACAAAACCAAGCATACAATGTTAACGTTTTTAAAGTTGAATTCTAAGTATAACATGAATGAATTTTACCTACTTTTACTTCAACTAACACCAAACCACCAGTGTTTTCAAATATTTTTAGTTGATCAATAAGCATATAATTGTAAGTTGCCGAAATGTGACGTGTATATTACCTAATATTTCTAGTACATTTTTGTTTTCATCGCACAGAAGACGAAAGTAGTAAAGATAAGAATAAAATATTTCAGCTCACCTGACAAGTGACAACTTTAATTCATTATCCTACTGTAGGTCAACAAAACAACACTGATAACAATGCTGCCACGTATTCTACAAATCAGTTGGAAGATGGCGTTCCAGGTAGCTATATGTGTTAAAATTTATATATAATAGTTTAAGTATAAGGAACTTTCTATAAAATGTACCTTAAAAGGATTCATAGTATATACAAAGTTACTATTCACAAATATAAAGGGCATCACTATATTGGTTATACCATATTGATTGCTAAATATAAGATGCAACAATAGGCGCCTAAATTGCAACTCATATTGCATGACATTTGAACACTCATACCCAGAGAAGCAATTAAACAAATGCCATCAAAGAAATAAGCTTCTTCTCTGTCTTCTCTTTACAACAGGTTGACAGTTTTATTTATTTTGTAGAGCATTCAAAACACAAAAATGAAACATTGTCAGTAATTGAAATACCAGAGCAGCCAGACGAAAATGTTATAGGTATGTCAAAACTTCAAGTTCAACCATGCAAAGGCCTGGTGTCCACGAGAGTTGATCTGAGTTATACAGAATATAGTTCTCATTTGATATTGATTGCCAACTCTCGTCCATCCATATTATATATAGTCATGCACAATTATCAACTACAAACTGCATGACTCAAATTTTGATGAGAGACGATGAGAGTTTACCGTGTTTGACGGGTCATGACAGTTTTTAAGAGTTACCCCAGTTGGGATCAATTGCTCCAAAAAACTCTTAAGTTGCAACAAGTCTATTCTCAAGATTTCCTTGTATGCCGAAATATCTTTTATTGTTAGTTGCTTGAAGATATTTGCAAAATAACCTCCCTCCTTCTGTCGTATTATTCATAACATTATAGTGACTTTCTTCGCTACGACACTCGCAGCCTGTTACACAAATTCTTCAATTAATAATAGTAAAACTCTTTGTTGCAAACTCTCGTGGACTAGTTTCATCCTCATTTGAACTGGTCTTAAAAATTATGTTACAACTGCGCGCCTCATTATTACAAATTATAACAATTTTTTCAGCTTAGCGTGACAATAGATTGCTACAATGGAGACTTTCTTTAACGTGTACATGAAAGGGATATAGAATTTTTCGATATAAAACAATGAAAGCAGTTATTTTGATGCAGTATGATTGGGCAGGATATATAAGGAAAATTTATAATAATAAATTTGGGCATTGCTGTTAGCTATATAATAGAATTTCCAAACGGCGAAACCTTTTTGTCATAACGTGACGAAGTTTACGCTCATATTTAGGACAAGAAAATGACAACCCTGCAATCAGTGCATTGGTCTCCATGGAAATTGATGATCATACCCAGGTTACCAGTAAGTAAAATTTGTAAAATCAATGTAGCACACATATTTATGCTTACGGGGACTTAATAGCCACTTCATGCGCAGTCATGAAGAATAACAGTCATAGATATCAGTGGACAGAGATCGGACAAATGCTAAATTTCATATATATACAAAAAGAAACATACAACAACGGGACAGCAAGTAAAAAGTTCTAACTGAGCATGGACTTAGAACCGAACATATAGTTGTTGCGAATTCGGTACAAAATGAACTTAATTATTCCACGTTTCATGTTGAAAATGTGAAGCAAAACATCATACGATTGTATATGAACAAAACCAAGCATACAATGTTAACGTTTTTAAAGTTGAATTCTAAGTATAACATGAATGAATTTTACCTACTTTTACTTCAACTAACACCAAACCACCAGTGTTTTCAAATATTTTTAGTTGATCAATAAGCATATAATTGTAAGTTGCCGAAATGTGACGTGTATATTACCTAATATTTCTAGTACATTTTTGTTTTCATCGCACAGAAGACGAAAGTAGTAAAGATAAGAATAAAATATTTCAGCTCACCTGACAAGTGACAACTTTAATTCATTATCCTACTGTAGGTCAACAAAACAACACTGATAACAATGCTGCCACGTATTCTACAAATCAGTTGGAAGATGGCGTTCCAGGTAGCTATATGTGTTAAAATTTATATATAATAGTTTAAGTATAAGGAACTTTCTATAAAATGTACCTTAAAAGGATTCATAGTATATACAAAGTTACTATTCACAAATATAAAGGGCATCACTATATTGGTTATACCATATTGATTGCTAAATATAAGATGCAACAATAGGCGCCTAAATTGCAACTCATATTGCATGACATTTGAACACTCATACCCAGAGAAGCAATTAAACAAATGCCATCAAAGAAATAAGCTTTTTCTCTGTCTTCTCTTTACAACAGGTTGACAGTTTTATTTATTTTGCAGAGCATTCAAAACACAAAAATGAAACATTGTCAGTAATTGAAATACCAGAGCAGCCAGACGAAAATGTTATAGGTATGTCAAAACTTCAAGTTCAACCATGCAAAGGCCTGGTGTCCACGAGAGTTGATCTGAGTTATACAGAATATAGTTCTCATTTGATATTGATTGCCAACTCTCGTCCATCCATATTATAGTCATGCACAATTATCAACTACAAACTGCATGACTCAAATTTTGATGAGAGACGATGAGAGTTTACCGTGTTTGACCGGTCATGACAGTTTTTAAGAGTTACCCCAGTTGGGATCAATTGCTCCAAAAAACTCTTAAGTTGCAACAAGTCTATTCTCAAGATTTCCTTGTATTCCGAAATATCTTTTATTGTTAGTTGCTTGAAGATATTTGCAAAATAACCTCCCTCCTTCTGTCGTACTATTCATAACATTATAGTGACTTTCTTCGCTACGACACTCGCAGCCTGTTACACAAATTCTTCAATTAATAATATTAAAACTCTTTGTTGCAAACTCTCGTGGACTAGTTTCATCCTCATTTGAACTGGTCTTAAAAATTATGTTACAACTGCGCGCCTCATTATTACAAATTATAACAATTTTTTCAGCTTAGCGTGACAATAGATTGCTATAATGGAGACTTTCTTTAACGTGTACATGAAAGGGATATAGAATTTTTCGATATAAAACAATGAAAGCAGTTATTTTGATGCAGTATGATTGGGCAGGATATATAAGGAAAATTTATAATTATAAATTTGGGCATTGCTGTTAGCTATATAATAGAATTTCCAAACGGCGAAACCTTTTTGTCATAACGTGACGAAGTTTACGCTCATATTTAGAACAAGAAAATGACAACCCTGCCATCAGTGCATTGGTCTCCATGGAAATTGATGATCATACCCAGGTTACCAGTAAGTAAAATTTGTAAAGTCAATATACTAAAAATTTCTAACGGAGCATGGAATTCGATGCAGGAAATATCTTATGCGTTCTTGTTTAAACAGGGCGGTATCGCAATCACCACTCCTTTATTACCAACACATAAAAAAATCTTGTTTGTCTTCTGGTTTCAACTGAAAAATTATAACTTATAAAACATTGTTTTATAAAATAATTGTATTAATTTAAAAATATTCTATATAGACCTTTTTAATAATCCCAATTTAGAAGTCATGAGGAATATGTTAAATGAATGTGTATTTTTAAAATTAAACTGTCCCTGGAAATGATCAGGTGGGGCATAGTAACAAACAAGAAATCTTACAGGGGGAGAGTGCTTTAACATGAAGCCTTTTAAGGGTTAATTTTCATTAGGAAACAACAGATACATAAGCTACATCAGAAATATCAGATATAAAAAATGAAATTCATATATTCCAATAAAGAAGCGCTTTACTTCGCCAACACAGCAATATTATTAAAGCATTGTAATTTCATACTTTAGATATAACAGACAATCACTGTCATGTTTGCTTTGGCGAAGTCTCTGGGGCACATAAGTGCATATCATGTCTTCGTGCTGTGCACGTGTTTTGTGGTGTTGGCATTGGGGACGAAGGCTATGGGCAGGCAGTAAAGTGCTTTAAATGCCAGGATACAGGTAAATTTGAGATTAAGTGAATATTAAAAGCCTGCAAGCTTAATACAATTAGCATTGCGAAATAATAAACTTCAGTTATCCATTAATTTTCGTAAAAGTCTGCAGTATATAGAAGTCTTTGTGGAGAATAAAGGGGGACGAATTGTCCTGGACAGCTCACAAAATAATTCCTTCCCATTTTTGAAAAGTGCTAGAATTTATCATGTTTATACATTTACAATAGCTTCCTTTTTCAATTCTGGAAGTCTATGGCCAAAAAATACTTATCAAAAGTGAAAAAAATATATAAGGCATATATACATGTGTTGTATATTCAATATATCGTGGTGCCCATTCAAGACGTTTATTATCATATTATATATAGGGCACAAACAATACGATGAAAATGTGAATAGCAGTAGCACATCAGGTTTGTAATTTTAATTGAATAGCATGTCACAATCAAAAACATAAAAAATGTGACCGCAGCATAAAATAAATAACCAACGACAAGGGCATATGCATAGTAAAACTTGATCTCTCTACTATTGCCGTGCTCAAAACTTTCGGCAAAACGTTTTCGAAAACTCACTCAAAATGTTATAAGAAAAAATAATTGAGTTTAGAAAAGACGATTATAAAGTCTAAAAAATATAATTTTTGAGGTATTGTTATTTTGATTGCAGAACATGCTGATTATCAGAGAATATATCTTATTAGAATTATTTTGTAAATTTACCATGTCTATAATTATTATTTGTCAATTGGGATTAGGGCAAGTAGTTTTAGCAACAGCACCCCCCTGTCTGTTCCTTAATAAGCTCAGCCAACAAATTTACATTTAATTTCAAATTAAAATTAAATTTGAAGCGAGCCAACTCGGTTACCTGCCTCATGGACTAGAGCATATACTTTTTTATACATATTATTCATTTATTATAATAAGTTTGGACATAATAAGCTTGATAACGATTAATAAAATGTTCAAGCAGAAGATAACCATTAGCTTCTGTTTTGCAGATAATTTATTTCATTTAAATGCATCTGGGTCGGATCCTAATCTTGAGGTATTTGCATGCTTACAGCAAATATAAGTCCAGGCTATTTCAAAATTTTAAAATAGATTAATGCAAAATGTTGTTTCATCAAAGATGAATACTTACATGAATATGAAACCATGCAGTTTAAAAAGAGGAATTTCATTTTAGACCAATCAGCGCATTTGTTTACATTTTGCATCTAAGCCAATCAGAACGTGTAAATCTAAAAATCTCCTTGTGAGCTCCAGTGGATAGCACTACCCAGCCTTTGTACAACCGACCCCAGAGCTTTATTTAAGACCCTACCTTTTCTAGTGAAGTTTACCTTTTCACCGGAAGTAGTCAAGATTCATTCTGACGCATTCTGATTGGCTTACACACAAAATGTAAACAGATACGTTGATTTGTCTAAAAAGAATTCCTCCTCGTTTTACAGTTTAATTAAGTTTTCTCTTTGTTGGGCGATAAGCTATGTAAAGCCCGAATCAAACGAAGGCACAATTCATTGCAGGTTTTCAACTTCTGAGGCATGAAATAGAAAACGAAAAATTTGATAATGACAAGGTTTCATGTGGAAACTGATTAATGTATTTTGTTCATATATACAGCTAAAGATGAATATTTTACGTTATATGTTTTGATCAAATTGACTCGTTTCCACTTCATGTGTTTTAAACCACTCATTCCCTCCTCAACATCTCAGAAGTTGAAAACTTGCGTTTCGTTTGACCGGGGCTTAAAACTATATTGCAAAAGCATCGCTATTAGAGTCGAGAAGATATTGAATATAGAAACAATGAACCAGTGGCGCACACTATATCTGTAGACATACAAACACTTATCACTTCTTACATGTATGTTAAATTTTAAAAATAATTGATATTTTTCATTCTGTGTTAAAAATTATTTTTGAGAGTGCAAGTATCTCTAACATCACCACTTGAAGAAAATATTAAATATTTTTAAAGAAAGTTTCAAGTAAGCAAATGTAAGCCTGTAAATATGGACATGCTTTCATATTATAGGAAGTTAGTCACAGTTCTAGTGACGAGTATGTGCCTGAAACAGATGATGATGAAGGTACATGTACATCTGACAATTTACATGTTACTATTGGTATAATAAATACTTTATACTTTTTCTAATTTATTTGTGGGTAAATGAATGGCTTTCATTTGCCTTTTTGCAGCAAAAATAAAAAACAAATATTTTTCATTTTAAGGCAAAGATTCAGAGTCTGAGGATGATGACGAATATGCGTTTCAAGGTACATGCTAAATGATATCACAGAGTAGAGACATACAGAGACGTAACTAGTGTACCCACTTTTTTTGTGCGCATGCTCGGCAAGTTACTAGATGCATGCATCTGATTGGATGACGACCTGATGACGACTCACTTTAAACTTGCTGAGCACGCGCAGTTGATCATTTTTCGCCCGGTCGCATGAAAAAAAGTGGGTACATAATAACGTAATCTTCCGCAGTGTTTACAACGGTCAGTTACGTCTCTGTATGTTTTATCTACTCTGTGATGATATCAAGGTTAAGGGGCTGTTCACATGAGCCCTACAGGAAGGGCTGCTAGCCCAACTATGCAACATCTCACTTTTTAATGAAAATCCTTACTAGAAATTAAGTTCGTTCACATGAGAGGAGGGCTGGAAGCCATCCAAAGTGAGATCTCGCTATGGACTACCAGAGATATAATCTAGTTAAGGCTTCACCACAACAAAATGTTCTTTAGCAAATAGCCTCATGTGTTCATTTTACGGCAGAAAATGTGAGTGTCATCATCACGCGCTTAAACCACAGAATTAGTACCTCACGGAAGGCCATCTCAGTCATTTCAAGCGTTCTAACAGCCGCTTTCTAGCTCATTTCTAGATCCTAAATCCCCACAGTTTTTGCGCAATGAAGTTTAAAATTTCGTCTATTTTTGTCTTGTCTGAAAGTCGTTGGCTGGCTAAAATGAAAATTTTTGTTTTAAAGGACAGATTAAAATGTCATAAATTGCATACAGTGAGAAAAACTCGATGTGTATAATATTATACCTGCATAAATCCTCCAAGATCGCCTCAAGGATGATGTAAGAACGACATTTGGATCAACAAAAATTCCTCCCTCCATGCGGCTAAATCGAGGAATGCACATTTGCCCGACGCCATCTTGAATTCCGCGCAATGACCTGGGTCTCAGTTATGATGTCATAGTATCAAGTTCACTGATCATTTTTAATTTTTTATTTTTTTAAAAATCAACCATGAATGATGTAATCAAAACAAACGTTTCGCGGGAAAATTAAAATAGTGGATTTTGATTGGATAATTGTCGCTCGCTCATTGCCACTTTAGGGGCGGACCATTTGATTTTTGAGGGGGGGGGTGGAAGATTCAGTCTGTGCAAGAATTTTTTTTCCGCCCAGGCGAACGAGACAGATATTTTTTTCCTGTAAAAGTGCAGCGCAAGATTTTTTTTCCCAATGTATTTGGCCGCAGGATATTTTTTTTTGCCTCTCATAATAACGGCTTACAGCAACTTTAGGCTTTCATATAGCTATCATCGGAGACGTAGCAGGGGTTTTCAGTCAGAGGAGGCCGAGAACTGAATCCCAAGAGGGGCCAAAGAATTTTCACTGTGCTTTATTTTATATGGTTATGTCTTAATGTTCCCCACACTAAAGCGTGCAAGTTTACTTACAAAGAATGTATAACTGCACCAAAACCTAAAACATGCAGGGATAGAGTAGAGTACTCGAAAATGGGGGAGGGTACAGTATATGAATGACCTGTAACCTTGGGGGGTTCGGGGGCATGCTCCCCCGAGAAAATTTTAAAATTTGAACCTCGGAAATGCTATTTCCTGCGTTTTCAGCCATGGATAATTATCTTAAGCCCAGATTTTCTCAGGGGGGGGCAACAATTTTGCCAGGGAACACCACTGGCTATCGTATGTCAGAGGCTCCAAAGGCGGTAGAATCCCTGTGATGTTATCCACTGTTCACCCCGTGTTCTTTTAAGCAAATGTGCCTGCTCAAAAATGCAAAATCTTGCAAGCCTGTGGACACAATACTGAAGTGAAGAGCATCAGTAGAGTTACATGTAGAAAATTTTTTTTTGAGCGCTCTCTTTTGCATGATATTTTTTTTTCTCGATTGTGTGCTGCATGATTTTTTTTTCTTTCTCCTTGGGTTGCAGGAATTTTTTTTTCGAAATCTTCCACCCCCCCCCCCCTCAAAAGTCAAATGGTCCGCCCCTTATAAATAGTCTATTAAAAATGGTCATAATAAAGCTGGTTTACAGCAGCAAAAATTACAATAAATACACTTTTAATGCTTTTAAATCATAAATAATCATATTATGATTTAATTTAGCTTTTGATATCATATAAAGGAAAATAAACCGGCCGAAAATACAAAATAACAACATCTCGCGTATCGACATTTTTCACAGTGATTTGTATGCATTAATCGACACTTACTGGCACGTAAATTTACTTTCGTATAGTGAGCACATAGTTGTGTGCACGGTAGATGGAAATTCCGAAAATACCCTTCGATTCTGCATGAAATTCTGTATAAACAGCCCTGGTTTTTCTTTTTCATTGAAAAACTGAACGGAGATATTCGCCCTTTAATACTCTAAAACTCGAGTCTTTATCCTACTATAGGAATTTGTGTACACAGTAGATGGGAAATCGGAGAACACGATTGAATTCGCCATAAAAATCGGCAACTTTTCATAGTAAATATCTCTAGTCAATTTAATAAAGAAAACTTTTTATTGCGTGTTTACCTCCCAGCTGACAATAGAAATAAACTACGGATGTAGACTAGGGATAAGGGAGCACTTTAATGGATAACCATTTTACTAATTCATTATTATCATAAGATAACCACAAATGTCCCGAGTTAATAATGATTCAAGATGGCGTCATGTAAATGTGCATTCCTCGATGTAGCCGCTAGTTCCCTACATTATGGACGCCATCTTGGTATTTTTTCATTTTGTGATTGTTAGAGTCCAGGCTCCATGGAAAATACTATTTCGCTGACCTCAGAATGACATTTTGTCAAAACATTTTTCTTCAAGATTGGTTTAGAAACAAACTTGGAGTAGGGTTAGGTTAGGGATAGGGTTGGGATTAGGATTAGAGTTGGTGTTTGGAATAGGGTTAGTGTTAGTAAAACCGTTGCTTTGTTACGTTTTGTCACTTTGAGGCCAGCGAAATAACCTCTGGGCTCCATGCGTGGAATTGACACTGATCTCAAAATTCTATTTAGAAAAACTGGAGTAAGAAATTTAATGAAAATAAGAACGTGGCGCAGCACAGATAGTCAAATTTTAAGGCGTATAAAAATGCTTTTGAAAGCTATAAAACTACTGATTTGGAGCCCAAAAATAATGAAAGGAATTTTAATTTATAAATATTAAGTTTTAATCTGGGTTTTACCAAAGAATGGTCGTATTTAGAAAGTTTCAAAATATTACTATTCCATCGATAGGCGCGCTATCCAAGAATACCGAATAGAAGGTAATTCATTGTTTTCGCGTGTGCGCTATTCGTCATGATTCATCACTGAACGAATGTCTTAAACAAAAGCCATCACTCCCCTGACGTAAGCGCTATTTTGAATGTTTCCAGGGGGTGACTGCTTCTGTTTAAGGCACTTGCTGAGTGACGAATCACCAAGAATAGCGCATACGCAAAAAAATCACAATAGAGATGTCCTTTTGTTTAGTATACTGTCCCTTCATGGACTTTCTGTGAGGTATTCTTTGCTCGAACGTTAGAAATTATACGTAAGATGCGAGTCAGCAGTCGTATCAATGACGTAGCACAGAATAATATATAGATACAGAAAAGCAACACATTGCGTTCAGCCCGAAGCCCTTTTGTTTAGCGTCCACCATCTCCCTGAAAAGTAAAATTGCAGCAAGTAAGTTGTAATTTGTATGGGGGAAATCGTGAAGCAAGTATTTCTATGTTTATCACCAGCTTGTTTATTATTTGAATCGATAAGCTTTTTTCCAGTTCACTTTTCAGTGTTTACGCTATATATATATATATATATATATATATATATATATATATATATATATATATATATATATATATATATATATATATATATATATATATATATATATATATATATATATATATATATATATATATATATATATATATATATATATATATATATATATATATAGTACGGACTAGAACAAGCGAGGTCAACCAGCGGTTTCGAGTCAATTTCGAAAAATATAGTTTTACGTTCTTCAAATCGCCCTCAAATCCACAGGATTACTAGTACAGATGAGTTCTGAATTTCCCTAACAGATATGTTTCAAATCTTTTAGATGAAACAGACAAGTCACATATAAAAAATGACAGCAGCGCTAGAGAGGCATTCAGGAAATCAGGAGGTAGATTAATGGGTTTATTTGCTTGCTATCTTCTTAATATATGGTTAAGCCCATTAAAGGTTGTAAACCGAGATTGACAAAATAGGTATTTTGTCTCCGAGTCTGGCATCATTCAACCTGGACAACGCGATTTTTTTCGTTAATGGCATTTTGGGGTCTTTTACCACGGACTAACGATTTGTTCCCAAGTGAAATATTTCTCCTTTCCTTCTGATTATACGAGTCAAACAGAACTCATTTTTCCACAGACGGCCCAATTTCTGGGTGCGTCAGGATGATTAGTAGTTGCGGTTTATTTAGGCTAACAGGAATATATGAAAATATTTCCAGTTTATTTGAAGAAAATTACAACAAAAACATTCTTAATTATTAAATTATATAGTCAAATAACAACACTTTAGGAATAAAAAAAGAGTTAACATGAGACATATACCGGGTGGCGCAAAAAAAAGTTCACGCGTTTGATTTAGTACAGCGAAAAAACTTTAAGTGTTACATCGCTGAAATAAACGTAGCTGTATTCATAAAAGTCTAACTTAAATTTTGATCTATAGCATGTTTATTTACGTGCAATATTGACTGGGATATCGCCAAATAAAATTTGGAACGAAGTTTTGAAAATCTGACAAATTGGCTAAAAATGGCCTATTAAACTGTTTTGATAAATTTTAGAATTTCGTCAGACATATTCGCTTGTATGAATTTAATTTAAATTGAAACGTGTAACGAATGATTTTCCTTATTTATTTATTTGTTTTATTATCATTTGAAAAGCAACAAAATTTCGAAAATGATGGCTCTTTTAATTAAGAATTGCTTCGCAGTATTCCATGTCCCATAGCTATAGGGAATTAAATTAGATCAACAACCGAACAATTTGAGACAGCTTCGTGAAGCGATTATTGTTGATTAATTGCCATAACTTTGACCAGCAAATAAATCCAACGTTCGTTCGATAGTATGGTCACACGTGCAAGAATATAGTTATTTAATTTTCCATGATAAACGCGTTATTTACTGCCGTTGTGTTCTTCATATATCGTTAATTCCTTTACTCCTATTTAATAGGCTATTTTCAGCTAATTTTGGAACCTTTTGAAATTGCATATTCAAATTGATTTACCAATATCTTGGGTAATACTAAACAAAAATGCATGTGTTATACATCAAAATTTAAGTTAGGCATTCCTGGATAGGATAACATTTATTTGAGGAACGTAACACTTATAGTTTTTTCGCTGTACTAAATCAAACGCGTGAACTTTTTTTTGCGCCACCCGGTAGTTAACCTGCCGTTAGACTGCGGGAAGCCGTTTTTTTCTCACTTCTATTCTTGCATTAGTTCTTTTCGTACCAAATGCTACTGACAAAAACACGCGGGCATCATGCCACAGACAATCAAGCGATAGTTGCGGTTAAGATGGAAATTACTGCAAAGAAAAACTGTACCTAAAAATAATCATCTACCAATTTTTGCCATTTAGTGTACATAATGTCAACCGGCGAAAAAGACGGAAGAAGAGTGTATGACAAAAAAAACAGCTGTTATTATTGCGAGAAAGAATTCGGCAAGGTTGGTCGGCATCTCTTTCAAGTCCACAAAAATGAAAAAGAGGTGGCAAAAATCATCGCGCTCGACAAAAATGACAGAATGCGCCAGCTGTTAATGGATAAATTGTGTCGTTTGGGCAATTTTAACCACAACTTGAAAGTGCTAGAGATTCACGAAGGTGAACTCAAAGTCATGCGGAGACCAGCACACAAGGAAGACAATGATCCTTCGAATTATTTGCCCTGTCAGTTCTGCCACGGTTTCTTTCAGAAGAAGGACTTGTACCGGCACTGTCCAAAATGTCCTTTCGCTGAAGATGGAAACCAGATCATTCGATCAAAGAAGCTGCAGCATGCAGGAAGATTGTTGTTGGCAGCGAATAAATATCCTACAGGTGCGAGTCAGCAATTGTCGGATAACGTGTTATCAATAATGGCAATGGACGATGTCAGCGCCGTGGTCAGAACTGACGAAACGATTCTAAGGGTGGGTTCGACACTGATAGAAAATCGTGGGAAAGAAAAAGCCGTCGAAGTTTCACAACAAATGCGCATTCTTGCCCGATTGCTAATTAAAGTTAGAGAGCTAAGTGGAGTGCCAACTCTATCCCTGGAGAATTGCTTGACCCCGCCCCAATTTGACAATCTTCTCGCCAGCGCAAGATATCTCGGTGGATACACGGGCGCACCTAACACCAGTGCCGACCGTTTCAAATCCCCTTCAACAGCTGCCAAATGTGGATATGCGCTAAAAAAAGCAGCATTTGCAGTGAAAGGAAAAGCCCTAAGAAAAAAGGACATGGAAGCAAAGAATGATGTTGATCTCTTTTTGGAACTGTACGAGGGAGAATGGAGTGCGAACGTAACAACTCAGGCCTTGCAAAATTTGTCATTTAAAAAACACAACAAGCCACAATTTCTTCCAATAACAAATGACTTACTGGCCCTGCGTGTTTTCCTCAATGAGAACATTTTAAAACTTACAGAAGAAGTTGAAAAAAACGCAATGCAAGAAAATTGGAGAAAACTTGCAAATTCCGCTTTGGCAAGATTGATTATATTCAATAAACGCAGAGGTACCCAACTTTTCTATGTTAATGTTTTGGAAGAATATTGTTCAATGTCGCAAGCAAAGCACGTGAAATTTTATTCGTTGCCAAATTTATCTTTATTAAATTATTTTAAAATTATATTAAATGAAAAATCTTTATTAACAGGTGGCGAAGCTTCCCGAATGACGCTTGATTCTTTTCAAGGGCGGCCTTTGTGGCAAAACGTTCATAATGAAGAGATTCTTTCTGCCCTTTCAGCTTCTGAAAAAGAGCTATGCAAGCGGTATGTAAAAATAGTCGATTTGATTTGACATCATCTAGTGAATTTGATGTGTATAGATAGGACGCTGTAACGGACTTTTAAAAGCCTTATTAAGAATATAACAACCATTGCTAAGGAACCATAGCTTTACCCAGGCAAACTCAAAGGGAAAATCCTTAGAGCGATAAAACTGATATCACATCGTCCCGATTTTAACCTATTTAATATCCTTGCCCCCTATAGTCAGAGTCAGACTCAGAGTTTGTTACAAAATTATATCATCAAAATTTTAGGTTTGATATGGTGGAAATTATTGGCAAAAGGAACAGAAAAGTTCCCGTGCTGCTTACACCGAATGTAAAAGCAGCCATACTAGTCCTGAACCGCACAAGGGAAGACGGGAATGCCAATCCAGAGAATCCGTATGTTTTTGCAGTCAATGACGGAAGATCAACAAAGTTTTTACGAGGCAATGATGCCATACGTCAGGCATGTAAAAATGTTAATCTTGAAAATCCCGAAGTAATTAATTCAAACAACCTTCGAAAGTATGCAGCAACTGTTTCACAATTGGTTGACATGGATGAAAATGAGCTGGGATGGTTGGCAACTCATCTCGGTCATGATGTGCACATCCATAAGGAATTCTACAGGATGCAAGATAGCACACTTGAGATAGCTGTAGTTGGCAACCTCCTAATGGCTATTGATGAAGGGAGGGCACACAAATTCAAAGGGAAAAATTTGCGGGACATTACCCTTCAAGGTATTATCAAAATGATGATTAGAGGACTAATTTACCAAAACTTAATTTTAACTGTATATGTCTGTACAAATCTTAGATGGGAAAAAGGACTTTCACCTTTCCATCACGTATCCATCTAGAATGATCAACATAAGTTGTTCTCGTCCATTTTTTTCCCCAGATTTTGACATCGTTCAAGGTGAAGAGGATTCCGAGACTGAGCTAGATAAAGGTAAATATTTCATAAGTAACACTGTTTGCTATGTCCAGTGCATGTAGTACGGTAGGTGCTGTGGATCCCAAAACAATCCGTCTCTGACTACGAAGGGGCCGAAGTCAATGAAAAGATAAAATTATATGTGCGGATAAAATTAGTCATTTCAAAAGACGACAATTCTAATGGTTGCAGGCACAATGCACCAATTTTTAACATAGTTCTTGAGACGGCAAATAGTGGCAGCCGTCCGATATAGTAGTATTCGCCCTTGGTCGAAGAAGCTAGCGTGAGGACTTTTTAGTCTCTGTTTAACTCAACACCTTTGAAAAGCCTGCACGGCAACAAGTCTCGTCTTTTGCGTTTAGTATTGATTCAAATGATGAGGAACGTTTCATCGATCAAGAACGAAACGCAATCGAATCCTGTGATGTTAGATTTTATACAAAAGCGATACGTTGTGCATGAATATAACACAACTTAGCCGCATTGAAGCATTTCGATCGTTTACAACAGTCCAAGAGAACTTGAGCGCAGATCAGTGTAAACCCCAGACCGAAGTGGAGAGCACCTGCTCAAGAATTCCCCAACCTTTTTCGACGTTTGCATAAGCCAGTGCAAACACAGAAAAACATGAAATCTGCTGTGTTGGTGTAATGTACTCAGGTGAATAAGATGTTTGTGTGATGTTACTCTGAGTGTATATCCACACCGGGCAGGCTTCAAGCCTGCCCGGTGTGGATAAACACTCAGAGTAACATCACACAAACATCTTATTCACCTGAGTACATTACACCAACACAGCAGATTTCATGATTATTAGATTACACTGATATCGAAAGAACTAGACTCAGTTCCGAAATATCGCATACTCGAACGTCCTGACCGCGTAGCTCAGTTGGAAGAGCTAGCATTGGGCTAGTATTCCAAAGGTCGTAGGTTCGAATCCCGCCGTGGCCAGGCATATTTTTCAAGCCTGTCCGGTGTGGATATACACTCAGAGTAACATCACACAAACACAGAAAAACATATTTTATTTGTTTTATAAAATAACAATAAATTTATTTTGGCAATTTATACTTTTATTGGTTGTTTTTCTATAAGATATAAAATTCTCCTTACTTTGTTAACGTACGCGCTTTAGCTCTGAGCTTGCCGTATTTGCACAGCCTAATACAAATATACATAGCTATTCACCAACTAGAGCGCGCGTTGTATTGCAGGAATTTAAGCACGTAGGACGGCAACGCAACGACGACAGCCAAAACAAATTCTCTCAAATATATTGCAGTAAAGAAAACTTGTCGTGTATTATGAATTGTATGAATTCAATACAGTTTAAAAAGCCGACGACATGGGTTGTATTATTAGGAAGAGTTTCAACTGAACTGAATTTGAAGTAGGGCTTGTTGTGGCTTTGATTACAGGTGTTGTGTACAAGCCGTAAAAACCTGTGATTTGCCGTTGTAAACAGAGTGAGGCTACGTCGAAAACGTCCGTTGGAGTTTAATTATTCACGCCTTTTCACAGAATCATTGTCTTGAAAAGCCGTCTTCGTTACGTTCCCTATTACGGACCTTACAATGTAGGACGGCAACAACGACGGCGACGGCCAGAGAAAACACCAAATAATATATGGTTGTAAAGAAAACTTGTTGTTTATTATCAGTCCTATGAATTTAATACAGTTTAAGAAGTTCAGTGATCACTTGTGCTGTATGTTTGAGGATAGTTTACTAAACCGACTTTAAAATACCACTTGTTGTAAACAATACGTCGACTGCGGTCGGCGTTGTATACAATACGTGAAAATATGTGACTTGCCGTTGTAAACAACACGAGAACCACATTTCAATTATTGAAATGAATTCACAACTTCAATTATTGATTTCTTTTCAATATTAGCCTTTGTCATTAGCCGTTGCCGTCGCGTCGCCGTCCTATAAGGTCCCTATTTTATAATGTGCAATCTTCAATATTTGCTATTAAAACTGCTTTTACATGTATTACTTGTTTTTGATTTTGAAATATTCCAAATTAAATAGTGAAGTGAAAAATTCCAAATCTCCAAATTATCAATCTCTCATTGTTATTGAATATTTCAATATTCTAGAAAACAGACACACCGAACGCAACATTGCATCGACATCTTCATCTTTTGGTCAAAAAAAATCAACGCCCAAACAAGGTATGATTGTAGCCATTACTAACATTAAATGCCTCCAAACAACAAAATGCTTTTAATTCAAGCATTTTACCAATTGAAATTCATAATCCAATCCTGAACGATTAGAAGTGTTTGAAGTGGACGCGTGTGTGGAACGACAAAAAAATAATTTCACTTATACCGAACAGAGTTGTGTGGCAGCAGAGTGATGTTCATTTCTTTTCGAAACAGGATGCATAGAAAATCAGTATTGAATGAAACCACTTATTTGAACATAGGATGGATACAATTTTATTAAGTGCCAATTACTATTGGAATTAATAAAATGGAATTGAAGGACAAAAGAACAATTTACTTTACACGTTTACTTAAGAACCTGGTGTTGTTTTTCCTTCATAACGTTAGAAAAGTGCGAGTTGCGATGGCCGGTGTAATACATCAACAAAAATTTACTTAAAAAGTTAAAACCGACAAACGACCATAAATTTATGCTCAGCGAGCTCACTGCACATAGATTATTTAGAAGCACTGTGAACTGTGGATCCGCAGGCAAGTCATCTATTCTACAGGGTACCTGGAAAAAAATTCACTGTAAATACTGCAAATTACTTAATAACCTTGAAAATCATTTTTGTTAGAGCTATCCTTCATAGAAATGCTTCGACTATGTGCAAATTGTCTATTTACCTAAAACATACTAACTGACAACCGCAAATACCCGTGCAAAACTCGAATTTGCGGGACATTACCCTTCAAGGTATTATCAAAATGATGATGATTAGAGGAGTAATTTACCAAAACTTAATTTTAACTGTATATGTCTGTACAAATCTTAGATGGGAAAAAGGACTTTCACCTTTCCATCACGTATCCATCTAGAATGGTCAACATAAGTTGTTCTCGTCCATTTTTTTTCCCAGATTTTGACATCGTTCAAGGTGAAGAGGATTCCGAGACTGAGCTAGATAAAGGTAAATATTTCATAAGTAACACTGTTTGCTATGTCCAATGCATGTAGTACGGTAGGTGCTGTGGATCCCAAAACAACCCGTTTCTGACTACGAAGGGGCCGAAGTCAATGAAAAGATAAAATTATATGTGCGGATAAAATTAGTCATTTCAAAAGACGACAATTCTAATGGTTGCAGGCACAATGCACCAATTTTTAACATAGTTCTTGAGACGGCAAATAGTGGCAGCCGTCCGATATAGTAGTATTCGCCCATGGTCGAAGAGGCTAGCGTGAGGACTTTTTAGTCTCTGTTTAACTCAACACCTTTGAAAAGCCTGCACGGCAACAAGTCTCGTCTTTTGCGTTTAGTATTGATTCAAATGATGAGGAACGTTTCATCGATCAAGAACGAAACGCAATCGAATCCTGTGATGTTAGATTTTATACAAAAGCGATACGTTGTGCATGAATATAACACAACTTAGCCGCATTGAAGCATTTCGATCGTTTACAACAGTCCAAGAGAACTTGAGCGCAGATCAGTGTAAACCCCAGACCGAAGTGGAGAGCACCTGCTCAAGAATTCCCCAACCTTTTTCGACGTTTGCATAAGCCAGTGCAAACACAGAAAAACATGAAATCTGCTGTGTTGGTGTAATGTACTCAGGTGAATAAGATGTTTGTGTGATGTTACTCTGAGTGTATATCCACACCGGGCAGGCTTCAAGCCGTTGTATTGCAGGAATTTAAGCACGTAGGACGGCAACGCAACGACGACAGCCAAAACAAATTCTCTCAAATATATTGCAGTAAAGAAAACTTGTCGTGTATTATGAATTGTATGAATTCAATACAGTTTAAAAAGCCGACGACATGGGTTGTATTATTAGGAAGAGTTTCAACTGAACTGAATTTGAAGTAGGGCTTGTTGTGGCTTTGATTACAGGTGTTGTGTACAAGCCGTAAAAACCTGTGATTTGCCGTTGTAAACAGAGTGAGGCTACGTCGAAAACGTCCGTTGGAGTTTAATTATTCACGCCTTTTCACAGAATCATTGTCTTGAAAAGCCGTCTTCGTTACGTTCCCTATTAGGGACCTTACGATGTAGGACGGCAACAACGACGGCGACGGCCAGAGAAAACACCAAATAATATATGGTTGTAAAGAAAACTTGTTGTTTATTATCAGTCCTATGAATTTAATACAGTTTAAGAAGTTCAGTGATCACTTGTGCTGTATGTTTGAGGATAGTTTATAAACCGACTTTAAAATACCACTTGTTGTAAACAATACGTCGACTGCGGTCGGCGTTGTATACAATACGTGAAAATATGTGACTTGCCGTTGTAAACAACACGAGAACCACATTTCAATTATTGAAATGAATTCACAACTTCAATTATTCATTTCTTTTCAATTTAACTTTTAAATTATTAAATGTATACCAACTTAACCAATATCAAATTGGATGTTTCATGTTCAAATGCCTTAATCAATCCTTTTCCTTACCATCTCAGTTTCTCCAATATTTTTCTTATAATAAAGATGTTCATCACTATAATACTCGAAACGCTGCTAAGATTCATATAAAGAAGGTGCGAAATACTACTAGAAAGCTAACTCTTAAGCATATAGTGGCTCAATTCTCTGGAATTCCCTCAATAAATCTATTAGTCAGTCTCATTCACCCAGTTCCTTTCAATTCAAACTCAGAAATTTCCTCGTGGAGGCAAATAGCTAAAGGTTAATTTATCTGAGTTATATATATTGTAATATTCTGAATTTGTTTCTTAATCTCAATCTTTTGCTCTATTCATATCTCGTAACAATGCCAATACCGCGACCTCTAACTATTCATAACATCTATATGCCACCATGGTGTTTAGCGTTTTACAAGCTCCTTGGTTTTTTTTGCTGAGCACCATCCAAATATATGTATATACTTTTTGTAAATAATTATATATTTGGTGAATAAACTATTATGTTATGTTATGTTATGTATTAGCCTTTGGCATTATTAGCCGTTGCCGTCGCGTCGCCGTCCTATAAGGTCCCTATTTTATAATGTGCAATCTTCAATGTTTGCTATTAAAACTGCTTTTACATGAAATACTTGTTTTTGATTTTGAAATATTCCAAATTAAATAGTGAAGTGAAAAATTCCAAATCTCCAAATTATCAATCTCTCATTGTTATTGAATATTTCAATATTCTAGAAAACAGACACACCGAACGCAACATTGCATCGACATCTTCATCTTTTGGTCAAAAAAAATCAACGCCCAAACAAGGTATGATTGTAGCCATTACTAACATTAAATGCCTCCAAACAACAAAACGCTTTTAATTCAAGCATTTTACCAATTGAAATTCATAATCCAATCCTGAACGATTAGAAGTGTTTGAAGTGGACGCGTGTGTGGAACGACAAAAAAATAATTTCACTTATACCGAACAGAGTTGTGTGGCAGCAGAGTGATGTTCATTTCTTTTCGAAACAGGATGCATAGAAAATCAGTATTGAATGAAACCACTTATTTGAACATAGGATGGATACAATTTTATTAAGTGCCAATTAACATTGGAATTAATAAAATGGAATTGAATTGAATAAAATGGAATTTTACACGTTTACTTAAGAACCTGGTGTTGTTTTTCCTTCATAACGTTAGAAAAGTGCGAGTTGCGATGGCCGGTGTAATACATCAACAGAAATTTACTTAAAAAGTTAAAACCGACAAACGACCATAAATTTATGCTCAGCGAGCTCACTGCACATAGATTACGGCTTAAACTGCTGCATGTTGTTTTGGCATGATAACGTTCGGAAAATGCGATCGAGTTTTGCACGGGTATTTGCGGTTGTCAGTTAGTATGTTTTAGGTAAATAGGACAATTTGCACATAGTCGAAGCATTTCTATGAAGGATAGCTCTAACAAAAATGATTTTCAAGGTTATTAAGTAATTTGCAGTATTTACAGTGAATTTTTTGCAGTTACCCTGTAGAATAGATGACTTGCCTGCGGATCCACAGTTCACAGTGCTTGTAAATCATTTACAAGCACTGTGAACTGTGGATCCGCAGGCAAGTCATCTATTCTACAGGGTAACTGCAAAAAATTCACTGTAAATACTGCAAATTACTTAATAACCTTGAAAATCATTTTTGTTAGAGCTATCCTTCATAGAAATGCTTCGACTATGTGCAAATTGTCCTATTTACCTAAAACATACTAACTGACAACCGCAAATACCCGTGCAAAACTCGATCGCATTTTCCGAACGTTATCATGCCAAAACAACATGCAGCAGTTTAAGCCGTACGTAAAAATTGCTTTTCTGTCATTTTTGTATCTGCATAGCAGATATATTGTCATCGTGCTGTTAGCTGTTAACCTGTCAACTGTAAACTTGCAGCCAATCAGCGACTAGTATTATAAGAATACGTCATTATATTCCTGTTCGTAGGCTAACGGCCTACGGAGCTAAATATGTGCATATGGCGGTGACTCAACAGCAACAAGATTAAAACTTACGCCCGTATTCTAAAAGCTCACTCACACTCACACTCAATGAGTGGAGGTTCAATCTGAGCTTCTATTGAGTGTCACTGCTGTTTTTGAACAGCTGGAGGGCGAGTAGTCACATAGTAAGGTACGACACTAACCCTCCAGCTACTCAAAAACAGCATTGAGACTCAATAGAAGCCCAGGTTTAAACTCCACTCATTGAGTGTGAGTAAGCTTTTAGAATACATTATATTCAATACATTTACGGACGCAAGCTCGATATCAATGATGCTATGTCTAAGCCTTTTCAGTAAATATTAGAGATGTGCAATTGATTAAAATAGATCCGTAATTTTTTAAAACTTGTTCAAACACTCATTAATAATTATGAGCTAATTGGCAAATCATGTCAACCATAATATATCACGTGCAGTGGCTTTAAACTTGATAAAACACTCCTAATTAGTATTCTTTATATAAAGAATACTCTCGTGGACCACTCTCATGGACCACTTGCGAGACACCAGATTTTTGGGGTTTTAATTCTTGACTGTGCATGCAAAAATGTGCTCGAGCCGAGTTCAGTCATTATTATCATTGTGGAAACTTTACACAAAATGTGAAGTTCTAAATCCATTCACTACATGACCGTTCTAAAATATAAGTGTGCAATTACGACTTTAATGCAAAGTTTCCGAATATATGCCCTTAAAATTGGTAGTTTTTTCTCTCGATCGCTACAGGAAATGCAAGAAAAGAAGTAATCGAGCTTCAAAAATTAATATTTTTGGGAGAGGACCTTCAGGCATTGAAAGGTCATTGCAACTTACGACTTCTACAGTTCAAGTGATTTTTTAACAGTAAAATTCGAATAATTCAGTAAAATCCTTTGACCCCTCCTCCCCTCCCCTCCAGATTCTCCACAGTATTCCTATATTTTTTAATGGAACCCTGACTACATTTTTTCAGCATTTTTACAGACTTAGTATTCACTGTTCATCAACAAAAACTGAATTGATTGTGAAATAAATAATGGAAATGAATAATGAAATAGTTCCCGCCAATCTCGGCTCCCTAAACTTGGAATAATAGTGCTTGGTCTATTGTTCGGTAGGCGAAATTTCGCAAGTGGTCCACGAGAGTGGTCCACGGGAATGGTCCGTGGTCCACGAGTGTAGTCCATGGACCAGGTCCACGAAGGTAGTCCATGGACCTGGGGTCCGCGTTTTGTTGTTTCCTAATAAGGCAGTATCTATTGTAGTCATGTCCTCATTAGTATTCTTTATATAAAGAATACTAATAAGACAGTATTTCTATTGAATTTGTAGTCGTGTTTGAAGCCGTTTAATAAACTCGTAGGTCGTGTTTTATTAGCCCTAAAGCCACTCGCGCTGCGCGCTCGTGTCTTTAAACCTAATAAAACACTTCTGCTCGTTTATTAAACAGTACTTTACAAGTCATTTAAATTTGACATATTTTGCCTGCTAATAGTGCAAGGACATGCTTTTTCGAAGACTTGTGGCTATTAGGTATGCTTGGATGAGTAAACTATATAAATTGTTGTATCAAATTCAACAACATAAATTTATGTCGCCATCAGAGTGATTTGATTTCACTTGTTGATATAATATATATTAGTACAACAGTATTTGACCAGCAAGGCGAGCAAAACAAATATACAAATTAATTGTATTAAATAATTAATATAAGCAAACTCAGAAACTATTACTAGCTCATGAACTTTGTGAAATTCCACGTGGAGTTTTGCCTGCGAGTTTCCAGAATAATATGACAATAACAATATTTCCGGCTTGTTACATTCGTCATTTTGCCCGTCCAATTTAATAAATGCTTTTAATTTGGCAAATATGATACCAAATTAATATAAAAATCTGCCCATTCGATAGATTACAATATTGTGATTTGAAATATCTTCATTGCCAAAGACAAAACATGTATAGTTTTATGTTACAGGGTTAGTTTTGGCAGCAAGCGTTGACAATAACAATATATTAATTGTTTGCTTGTTACAGTATATTCACATCTCCCTCTGATCTATATATACACTCATTTACCGATTAATTAACTCTAGATAAAAGAGGAAAAAATGTTTTTGTTTTTGCATGAAATAGTACTTTAGTAGTCACCGATATAAAGTACCGTACAAAATTCATCAATTTCAAATAGTCCCAATTTCCTAACTACTCTAGGCCGTAGTCTACGGGAGTCAACGATCTAGGACATCAATCACTGATCTAATAATAGACTGGATAGAGCTTCTATAGATACCAAAAGTGAAACAAAAAAAATCAACTTCCGGTTACCACTGCGCAGCGAAAACAATACGAATGTTACCAATATTGGTTGTTTTTGCTGCGCAGCGTTATAACCGGAAGTTGATTTTTTTGGCTTCACTTTTGGTGAGAAGCTCTATCCAGTCTATTATTAGATCAGTGACATCAATACATCCATGCGCAGATACATGTACGCCTTGTGTACCTATTTTTTCATATTTTTGGATGGATAATTCCAGTGAAATAGTATATACACTTTAAATTTTACCGGGACGGTTGCGAGGAATTCAACACTAGGTCCTCCGACAGGAATCGAACCTGCGATTCCGGTGCAGCGCTCTGACCACTGAGCTACCTTAATCACTACTATTGCATTTTATCAAATTTTTAGTGCCTCCCGAGCACCTGGTGACACCAAAGGCACAAAATAAAACCGTAAATCAGCCAAATCATACCAGAACAGGTTGGTAACTCTTATAGTATTAAATATAGCAGTTGCAATCCATGCAGCCCATGCATACCGTACATAAATGTGAAATTGAAATAAACCAACAGTCGTGACATTAGAAGCAAGCTGAAAACAATGATCAATTCATTAACTAACGATGAGCAATTTATTTGTTCAATCGTTGAAATACGCGGAATTAATATTTGATTAGCTGACAATAGGTCGCTGCACCTCCTCAAGCAGAAAAACGAAAGCAAAGGAATCTATTTGACCTTATAGTGGACATGTATAAATATTATCAAAGCACTCCTCATTCAAGTCGACAATCGAACACAAAACATCAAACTGAACGTCAAAAATTCAATATATTCCCTGTCGAGGTTCCCTGTTTCCAACAGAAGTGATCAAAAGTAATAAATAAGAAGCTTTCTGGCGCTTCTACCAAATTGCCAAAAATTAGACATTCGCTACGAAATTTTGTTACCCTTATTTCAGGGAAAAACATTAGTCACCTGAATTTAGTTTCCCATGCATTGAAAAAGATGTATCTAGACTGCTTACTGGAGCTAAAATCCTGTCTGAATCGATGAAACTTACAACGGCCCAGGATATTGTTTCCTGTTTGCGGGCGTGTAAACATTATTTTGAAGCGTAACTGTAATTCAAAAGATTATATTAGGCTCTCCAGGCAATATAATGCAGACAGTTCATTGAGGTTTTCCACAAGTTGTAAGACAATGAGCGCAGACGAAAAATTCAGACCGGACGAAAAAAGTCAGGAAATTGTTAAATCTTGAGAAATTGCCAGCTTGATCGGCGTGAGGTAATGAAACGATGAATACTTAAAGCTTCTATCGCCATGACATCAACTCTATGTACTTTACGAGACAACAATGTACTGTACAAAAGTTGAGAATTATCGGCTTGAAATATAACAATTAACGGAGCAATATTTGTAATTTTGTATGGGCGTTTGTCCTTGATTATTAAGTCAAATCAGAACATGTTTTAGTCAAATCAGAACAATGATGAATATTTTTCGCCACAAACCTGTAGTAAAGATTATTTTTGCAAAATCCTTAAAGAAAAAAAAGACAATGTTTGACCTTGCAGGACAAAAACAACATTCTTTTAGAGCATTTGTATGAGTGTCTTGTCGGAACAAAAATAGTTGAATATGAAGGAATCGTTACATTACGCTGTTTTGATTGATACTCATCTGTCGTAAATTTATTTGATTTCGATCTTAGCTGTGTACTCTTACTTGTAAACGACTTTTGCACACACTGTCATTTCATCAGCATGTGCAGTTGTATTTACGAATTTGTCAATATAAATCAATATCTACGAAAACTTACTACGTATAATGCGAACTTATCATTTAGGTCAGCAACGAAAGGTGGTGAAAAAAAAAGCTTGGAGAACACCAGAAAGAAAAGCAGTTTTGAAATCATTTCAAAAACACATCCAAAATCGAGTGTTGCCAAAAAAAATTGAATGTGTTAAGTTTATAGAGGAAAATCGCGGAATACTACATGAAACCAGGACCTGGAAAAAAGTGAAGGATTATGTGAGAAACTATACGGTGAAAAAGAAGTAAATAAGTTTAATTATATCTCTCGTCAAGAGCGGAATTTAGTTGGAATTGTCTATATGCACGGTATTTTAGATAAAAATGTAACTTGAAGATAGCTGCGCTAAAAACAAATTTTCTTCAATAGCCTTTTCATAGACATAGTTGCTTCTCTGATTTTGATCATTTTAATGCAAGGGCATGCAGTAAAATATTATAACTTTACTGCATAGACGTGATTAGATTTATACGTCAAATAAATAGAGTTGCTGTCTAAATTGTGATCACGCTGTTTAAAAGTAAGAAACATGGCGTTTGGCAACAACTGATCAGTGATGAAAATGCTGTGACGTCATTGCGTGAGTCAGCCCTCCAACAATAGTTGACAAAAAAAAACACAACACTATTCTATTTTCTCGATAATGAACTATAACATCCAGTTTCGTACATAAATATAAGATGTTTAAAGTGCCTATGACACGAAATTTCACCCCAAAGGTTTATTGGTGCATTGTAAAGATCACCTAAAGTGACTTAATAATTTCTTTTATAGAATTTTGGTAACTTGCTCCCTTTTCAAGATATTCAACTTTGTTTCATATGCAAATATCACCGGTGTGACATCACATCACATAATGAGTTTTCAGAAAAGTATAGTTTTCTTGACGAATACGTATCTAAAAAACTTAAAAATTACCTTTGTATATGTCTTAATTTCATAACTGCTAATTAACCCTCTGTATTTGTTTGTAAAAATATTTTATCAAGGTAAAATATTACATTTTCAAAATGTCATTATGCGACGTGATGTCACACCGGTGATATTTGCATATGAAACAAAGTTAAATATCTTGCAAAGGAATCAAGCTACAAAAATTCTATAAAATAAATTATTAAGTCAGTTTAAGTGTTCTTTACAATGCAATCATAAACATTTGGGGTCAAATTTCGTGTCATAGGCACTTTAAATCATACTAAACAGATAATTTTTTTTTCAGATTGCTGTGAGAATTGAGAGTGCTTTCAACATCGTTGAAGCACGTTTGATGGACCGTTGCTGCTAGATACTACGAATTCTTCATGCTGACATATGGCGAAACTGTAAAGTTGTTTAGACCATGAGTTTGTAAACCAACTTTCTTTTAAACCTTGAACGCTTGGTGCCAGTGTAGGTAGAGTCTTCGATAAAAATTCTGGATTTGTGTAATGTTAAACTACCTGTAAAATACAGATAAAATTTCGACGTTTTGAGCGAAGGCCCTTCGTCGGGAAGTTAGTACTAACTTCCCGACAAAGGGTACTTAACTTCCCGACGAAGGGCCTTCGCTCGAAACGTCGAAGTTCTTTCTATATTTTACAGGTAGTTTAACATCACACACATCCAAACTTTTTATTTTAAACTACCTGTTCTCAGGTTATACACAAACAATTTACACTATGATGTTCGCTGCGATTTTCTTCTTTTTTGTGATGTTAAAGAGTAAATGAGCTATACGAAGACAGTATGTGTGATGTTTGACACAGGTGTGATGTATCCTCTTTCACGACAATCGAATGAGGAAAACCATACAAAGGAAAATCGCACCCTACATCACAGTGAAAATTGCTTGCAAGTGTAAATATAGACTTTTAAAGAGTTTGGTTAACTGAATATGCTCTAGATTCACTTGGTCTATAATTAGGGCTGTCTAATCAAACCTGAGTTACGATATGAAGTGAGTAATATAGTTTTTAGGATTTTTTATATCAAAGCTAAGAATACCCAAGCAACAGCTTTGCATGGTTTTGCGTGTTCCAGCTTGTTACAGGTAAACTACGTGAAGCGTTCCTCTTTTGAGTTTCTAAATTGTTGCAATTTTCCTCATTACTTTTGCAATTTAAAAAACTCCCTGGCAAATCCCTTGAGGGAATTTGCAATGTTGCTAAAAGCAAAAAAAATTTTCCTCAGTTCCTGTTAGAAGTTCTTAACTTCCTGTTACAAGTTCCTAACTTCCTGTTTTGTTCTGGGCGTTGCAATTGGCTAACAAAAATAATCGACCAATAACAACGCTCAGAACAGAACAGGAAGTTGGGAAATTAAAACAGGAAGTTAGGAAAACTTAAAATAAAGTTTGGAATATTGCAACAGCCGATAGGAACATTCATTTGCAAATTCCCTCAAGGGATTTGCAAAGAGTTTTTCAAATTTGCAAAGCTAATGAGGAAAATTTCAAATGAGTTACGAAGTCAAAAGAGGAACGCTTCACGTAGTTTACATGTAAAAGTATGATCAATTCTCCATATGGGCACATGCCCAGGGGTTAGACATCCTACCTTGCTGGGATGAAAGTTGGGTTGAATTAAGTAGTCAGTATTAAGTTAACACATAAGACAGCAATCCTTGCAGTGATAATATATAGTAGACTAAAGACCTGTTTATATGTGTCTGGCTAGGCAGGACGGGATGTTTTTCATCCCACCTACAGTAGCTAGGACGTTTTTCATCCCATCTGGCATGTTTAAATGGGGAAAAATAATGCTGGGATGAACTCATTTAGTGTTTAATTAATTAAAAGTGGAATGAAAAAAATGGAATATACTAAAAAATCATCCCACCTAGCTGGTGTTTATATGGGAATTTTTCGCTAGGCGAGATCCCGCCAATAGCATGCAAGATCCCGCCTAGCTGGAATAAAAGCAGGATCATATAAACACTCAATATGGTTTACAGTACAAGCAAGATCTTGATAAACGTCCTATCCCGGCTAAGCAGAATCATATAAACAGGTTCTAACGCTCATACTGTGAAAGTTTCTGTGATCACAGTAAGAATTTGACATGCTGTAAGTAAACCCTTAGTTTTAAGACATTTGTAAAAATGTCACAGTAAAAAATTTCAGTGTTAAACACTGTTTTAGTTCCCTCAAAAATTTCTAGGAAATCATTTAAAACTTAGGATTTACATATTATGGCAAATTCCTACTGTGATCACAAAAAATTTGACAATGTAAACTGGGCCTTATAATAATTACGTCATTGGTGAAATTGTCTTCAGGTAAAATTTCTAACAGATAATTCAATCAAATCTATATTCATTATTTATACTCTGATCTGATTTTATAATTCCGATAAAATAATGCACTTGCCAATTATATCCCCAAGGTGCAGTGGCAAACATGGGTATAATATTTTGGCATGTCAAAATCTGTTTCAGTAAAACTGGCACGTTTAATTTTAATTTTATCAGCATTGTCACATTTTAGTCATAGTTCAATAAGGAAATGGATAGTTCAAAGACATTTACACTCTACAACCTCTCCTTACTGTGGAAAAATGCAGACAAGCATACAAATTGTGGGACAGAAAACACCCATGAAAAAAGGGTCAGCAAATATATAGCCTGGTTCACATATATGCATGTGTGCAAAGATGCCAGTGGTAGCTTTAAAATGTAAATTATGTGAACTTTTGATTGCCGATTGCCTCCAGTGCCAGAGTTACATCGGCGGTATGCTAGGAAAGTTGACTTGAGTTAAATTTGGCGGTATTTCTGCGGCAAGTAGAGACATAATGGTCAGTTACAGGCATACTGCAGACACATGTTAACCAGGCCTAAAGGGGCAATGTCACAGTACTACTGCACATTCAAAATATGTGAGAACTTGGAAAACTTTCTGCCAAATAACAATTAATCAAGTTAGGAGTGAAGTACGATACTATTTTACATTCCCTTCGTTATGCAGGACATCCTTGCTTTATTTTAAAAATTGTAGGGTGCTGCATCTTATTCAATCATGTAGCATTAATTTTAAACGTTTATTTTATAGCCGTTTGTTTTAGCCAATCACCGCCGTGGCATTGCCACTTTAAGTACAATTTACCGTAGAATTTTCAATTTTGTCCCTCACGAAAAAGTACCAAAAGTATATATACCTGGTGTGACTATTTAAGAATTTACTGTTCTTAGACGATTAGCGGCCAAATTTTGTTCACAAGGATCTCTTATTTTACAATGAGATTGAAGAACTCCCCATCATCGAAACTTTCTTACATGAATAATTGCAATACAATTTACAGTAAAACATATTCGCTTAATTGTTTCATTTGGCCGTATCAATCAGGTTCATCAGTTTCGTCGTCGCCATTTTGACATCGTAATCTGTAGCACTGAATGAATATTGCAGAGATAAAAGGGTGTGATTTTTTTAAACTAAATTCCAATGAAAATGGACGGTCAATGCACAAAATACTAACCTATTAGGTTAGTATTCTTGGGGGTCAAAATATCAACAATTCCGCTTTCCGAAGCTCGAAGAAAGACTGGTGACGAACTGTTCCGCTATAGACGTTATGGGGCTGAATTTGGGACGCGGGAAAAGATTGCATATTTTAATATATAATTATTTGTTTAATTTAAATGTAATATTTTTTATGTAATCTTTCCCCGTGTCCCAATTCAGCCCCATCATTCTATAGGCGAAGAGTTTGGCTAATTCCCCCAATATCTTTTTCCCCGCAAAATTTCCTTCTATCCACAAATTTGAGATAAATGTATGTTATTTACAATACTATTACATTTTCTATGAAAATTTGGCAAGCTCCTCCATATATACAAAAGCTAAACTGCATATTGGCATAGGTACTTACTCAGATTAGAGGGTCAGCACCCACAGTTCTGACGACTGACGAGGAGCTCAGCGCCCAACAACGAATTTTATCAGTCCCGAGATCACTGGAATGGCATTTTCTGGGCCTTCTGTACCCCTTTTGTGGGCGTATGCTATTTTATAGGTGTGTTTTTTAAATTTAATTTTATTGGTTTAAGAACTATGGACCTGAACGAAATCTTATGAGTTACAGAAATTCTTGCAATTTCGGTTCATTTTTGTAATTTCCCTTGCCATTTCCTTGTAAAACTGATTTTCCATGTAAGGACCAATAGATGGCGTGAAGTGCCCATTTATTGATGTGCAACACTGGCCTGCAAAAACGCTCCTGCAAAAACGTTGACTGTTAAAGTGAAGTGTTTGGCCGACAAACTTTTACGTTTGAAGCGCAAACGTTGCAATTTTGCATGTAATTAAAATATGTTTGAAATAACGTGTACACGTTTAGCCTTTATAGCTAGAGGTTAATGGCTGTACGTTTTGAAACGTAAAACGTAAGTTTTCGAACCAGGGGGGGGGACATATTCATATATTCGTGTTCACAAACCGTAAAAACAATCGATTTTAAAAGAAATTAATTGTGCAGAGCACGAATATATGAATATGTCTCCCCCCCACTTATCGAGCTGGCGACGCCATTGATTGGTAATTTGTAAACATTACAAGCAGTTTATACAAATATGCAATATGATTTCAATTCATACAATCACTTACCAAGTTCGTAACTTTCTTTCTTTCTTTTCTTTCCTCTAAAAGATTTTTCCCTTGCGATAACCGATCGCATTTCTCAGATAATTCTGTTTCATTATCATTTTCTACGGTTGTAGTTTGGTGAATGTGGTTAATGTCCATAGTATTCCGATTCTCGAGAGTATTCCATAGAGAATGCTGCTTTCCACCCTGTTTGGCAGGGGAAAATCCTTGCAAGTGGAAGCACTGAAATTTTGTTAATTTGAATTTCCGACTGTTTCCGTCAAATGCAAACTGAAATGATGGATTCAATCGATCTGATATTCGAAATTACTGTATTTACTTTTTGATTTATTTCTTCTTTTATTTGATATACTATTTTAAAATGCCTACATACCCATTATTCGACTTTTTCCAAAAAGCTATTATGATTGTTTGGACGAGTCGCGAGTGGACATGGTCATGGATTGAAAACAATATCAAATCGGTATATTTGATCGACGATCATCAGGTTAGTTGTAGCGTTATTACCTTCGCTGATTTATTTAGTAAAAACAGACACACGTCGGTAATATTGCATACTAGAAACTAAAGAATATAGAACAAAAATATCATTTTCACTGTCCAATTCTGGAAAGCCACAGCCTGCTGCCTATAGTCTGTGCTACAGTCCGGGCACAGAGTAGATAAGACATACAGAGACGTAACTGACCGTTGTAAACACTGCGGAAGATTACGTTATCATGTACCCACTTTTTTTCAGGCGACCGGGCGAAAAATGATCAACTGCGCGTGCTCAGCAAGTTTAAAGTGAGTCGTCATCAGGTCGTCATCCAATCAGATGCATGCATCTAGTAACTTGCCGAGCATGCGCACAAAAAAAGTGGGTACACTAGTTACGTCTCTGTATGTCTCTACTCTGTGGTCCGGGCTATAATATGCGCACGCGGCACGCGTGCAGTGCTTGAAGTAAGGGGCGTACCATTAGAAAAGTGATGGGGGGGGGGAAACAAAAAAAAAATTCGTGCAAGGCAAATTAACTTTAAAAAAAATTCCTGCATGATCAAATTCGAGGAAAAAAAATTCCTGCAGAGCGCAATGAAAAATATAATTAAATCATTGTTGGCAAGATTGTTCATTGTTGGAAAACAGGGCCAAGCTTTTTTTTATTCTGGACTTGCAATCTGCGATGTTAGTCATCTTTCAACAAAAGTAGGTCATTTAATATCTTCTATAGACGTCTATAGAAGATTATAGAATGGTGGGCCATGTAGCCGCAAATTCAATTGCGGTGCCTTTGGCTTTGCATCATTTGGAATGGTATATAAGAATTGGACGGCTTCATGTAATCATGTATGTCTTTTAATCAGAGTCAGACATAGGTATTAAACTGACTCACACAGAGATACTACTGAAGTCTAAAATGCCATTATGCATGCATGAATTTAGTTAGATGCCGGAATTTAGTATAGATGCCGGAATCAGACTTTTCGAGAAATTGCCAACATTTCAGACTCAGTTGTATAACAAATGTTCACATTTTTATTTTCAAGAGTATTTTCCTTCATTCAATACGTTACTTTTGCTTTGTTAAGAAAACTTCTAGTTTCATGGAAAAAAAAATTCGTGCAAATAATTTGGTGCCAAAAAAAATTTCCTGCAACGCCAAAGCAGTTGAAAAAAATATCGTGCATGCAAGAAAAGTCCCCCCCCCCCCCATCACTTTTCTAATGGTCCGCCCCTAAGGCTTTCAATTTGGTGGTCATTGTTATTTGTTTTTTATTATTTCATTTCTCAAACGATATTATGCAGGTGTAAATTAAAATTATTTGTCATTAATCAATATCTGGATACTGTAGCGCTATCCAACCTTCGTACAACCGGGGGTGAAAATTATATGATGTGTGACGGGACAATTGGTAATTTTCATTTTTGTAGAGTAATGTCACCCTGGGTTTTTTCTTGTCCTGGTCATAGTACTGAACAGTGGCGGCGGAACAGGGGGGCTAGGGCTAAAGCCCCCCCAGAAGTAAAAGTGGGGGGGCTTAGCCCCCCCAGAAAATTTTGTTTTCTCTGGAAAAATTTTGATAATTAAGGAAAAATGTAGGTTATTTTTGGAAAATTTAGGTATAAGGGGAAAAATTTGGAATATTTTGTTTAAAAATCAAGTTTGTCCCGAAAAATTTTTTGGTATAGGTGCGGAAAAATTTTTTTCATCCCTTTTCTTTTCTGGTGTATGCCCGGAAAAATTTTTCTACCCCTAAATGGTACACTGACCGAAATTTTTTTGGCGATGGGGGGGGGAGGTCACAGAAAAAAAATTAGCCCCCCCCCCAACTGAAATCCGTTCCGCCAACCCTGGTACTGAATTTTCAAATTGCTTGAGCCAGAAGAAATAAATAATAATAGCCAGAGCCTGTAAAGAAAGAAGAAAGATATACTAAATATACTAGATATACTGTACAAGCAAACAGTTGTACAGTGGCCCAAAAAGATCATGCACAATTTCTTAAAAGAAGAACAAAGATGAATATAATATAAGAAAAATGGTATATTTGTTCTTTAATGGTATAAAACAGTGCATTATCTGATCCATAGGGTATAAAACAATGCATTATCTGAGCCATATCATCTATTAGATTAAGATGTTTATGAAAGGAACAACCTTGGGGATTTTCCTATTGACAGCACACACCCCTTCCCCCTTCCCTTCCTCTTGTGCCAGTTCTCAGATAGTAGTTTTTCTTAATTTGTAATGATGTGAACTTGTTAAAATTTATAATAACAAGAACTTGGCCATATTGGTGTATTATTTCTTGTGTTATAGAGAAAGTGCAGGCATTTGTAAAGAACATTGCATAACTGCATAAATTGCAATTAACGTTGTGTAGTACTCCATGTTATACACACAATATAGCCCATAATAAGTCTCGCTAAGTTCATTCATAATACCTAATGGGATATGTTGTCGTTTCCCAGTTCCTGCATGGTTGTGCATTGAATTTTGGCATGCCAAGAGATATTTTATTTGCATATATTATATATATTTTGATGTCCCACAAATGTTTTCCCATTATTTTCACCCGAAAATGAAGAACTTTATGAAATTTACTAAATCACATTGAAAAACAAAACTCAAACTTTATAGAACATATCAGAATATACCGAGAAACACAAAGAGTAAAGAATTATAAGGAAGAATTGCACGTTCCCACAATGACACTTGAAGAGTTCAGTGTAAAAAATGTGTAAGAAATGCAACTATCATTGTGGGAACTTATGTAAGAATTTTTACATAATGTGGACTTGCATTTTAAGTCCACACAGTGCTATACCTGTAATACACAAAGTCCCCTTAATGCTTCTGTTTGTTTCATGACCTGTACACAGTTTTTAACACAAATGTTTAGCAACTTACTCGCATTGCTGTCTGGGAGTTCAGATATTTTCTGAATACAAGCTTGAGCAACAATCTTTACTTCACATAAATTCGGTTAAATGTTAATCATTAACCAAATGTTTTGACGTTTTGAAACTCTGCGTTTTGAAATTTAGTTCACGTCAAGTCAGACCAGAAATGGAATAACATAATAAAAGAAGCAAATTAAAAGATACAAGCTGAAAAATAACACTCTAAATAGTGTTATTGATAGAGATTCGAACAAGAATATTTAACAAAGAAGATACGTCCGAAGGGGCCGAAGTTATGATCGGCGAAAGGTATGGGCTAGTCTATATTTTCGTTCAGACAATTACATGCGTATTAATTTGATAATATACTATCTCGCTTGACTTTCAAAGGCCATAAATCGCAATAATGTTGACATCTTACGAAAACTATCGATAGAAATTAGGAGATATTTCTTCACTGAATCGAACAGTGGGATTTCCATATAGGCCTATCAGTCATGTTCTGAACCAAAGATACTTGATAGATATTATATACGAACCTCCAAAGTATAAACAAGGGGCCGGTTGATGCAGTAATTATCAAATAACAGTTAAAATCTTATATACCCGTTGAATATGTATAGTTGTAAACAAATAAAAACTATCGTTCTATAAGGTTCAATACTTTTAGTTTGGTTGTTGACTGATGATGAATCTATAGCATAGACTTGCTTGGTCTGTATTAACACATAAAATAAATTCCTTGATTTTCTCATCACTAGACACAGTCTACACTTTGAAATGTTGAAGACAGTGGGAGATTTATTTTTTATATTTTATATTTATATAATTTATATATCAATAGTTCGTATCTCCACGAACAATGACAGAATGACTGAGTTTCTTTAAAATACAATGAAATTTCACTCAAAATTCTGTTTTTTTCAAATTGGAAGTTTAAAATGGCAATAAAAACTCTATATAAAATATGAAAAAATTAACTGTCTTGAATTATTTTGTCGGGCGGTACATTTATATTGTATAACGAAAAATAAAACGTTTTCACGAGGATTTTAAAATTCAGTCGGGCGATGATGAGAATAAAGGAATTTATTTTATGTTGGGCAGTTGGGACTTGAGAGCAGCTTGGGAGTGGCTAATTTTGAATATTTACTTAATTAATGCATCTATAAATAGCGTTGATGCTTCAGGAGTGGTAGTTCATTTACACCCAGTTTTGCGGCAGGCGGTATTTCCTACGTACCGCCTGCCATGCAGGCTATCGGAGACTCGGCATAATTTTCAAGCTTCTAGATAGCATTTAATATGGCTATATATTTTAGTAAACACGAGTCATATTTAGCGTGTTATTTCATTCTGACCGTATGGCAGCGAAACGTAGCCGATTGTTCCGACAGCATTAGAGCAAAACTAATGACTTAATTATAAATGCAAAGGAAATTTCCATAACATTTTCCATTTACAAATGAGGTATGCTTGGTAACCAGGCCAGGGACCACTTTTTTTAAATCAGGGACCATTTTACCGAAATCTGCTAGGCTCTCTCGCTGAAGCGTTCCGCACAGCACACCCAGGCATAATATTTTTAAGACTTATTTAAATATATCAAAGCAGCGAATAGAGAGAGAGCCTGGGACTAGGCTGATGTTTTTGGACTAGCTGCCAGAAGTGAAGATACTGTATTCGAAAAAATTTGGATTGCTGCATGTGTGGTTTCATTGATGCATGCTATTCGTGATATTCGGTTTGAATTCAATTATTCAGGAGGTCAATTTTGGTTTCTTCAGTGGTTATCTTTAGCCAATCCAGTTTTGCCGACTGAGATAACAATTTGCCGATTAGCTGACGAGTGGGGGGTGTTCCCTCCCCCACACACCCCCCTGTAGCGCCGCCCCTGCCTATAGGGTAGTTTTTTTTCGAGTATAGATATTTGCGTTCTGTTTGTTTAGCTTGTTCTGTCTTACAGTGCGTATCTATTCGGTTGAATAAGCTTTTTATACAGCTCTGTTATTTTGTGTTGGGTAGGGTGGTTGCTGTTAAAATTCAGTATTTGGTCAATGTGCGTTTTCTTACGGTAGACCTATGTGTTAATCGTGCCGTCATCAGTTCTTGTCAACAAAATGTCAAGGAAAGTAAGTTGGTTGTTATCTTCTTCTTTCGCGAATTTTACATTTTGTGTAGTATTGTTTATAGTATGTAAAATGTTGTCAGTCTTCACTAGCGTAGCTAGCCCGACGATTTAGTCCCGCTACGCAAATATTTTTGTGTTCATTGACTGCGAAAACAATCTATTTCTAAAGAAATGAATAATGATAATAAGATTGATTTTGCATAGCGGGACTAAATTGTCAGGCTGGCTACGCCACTGCGTCTTGTCTTTCTTAACTGTAGCAAAGACGTCGTCTACGTATCTGTTACGGTATAGGGTAAGTATCAATGTGGCATTTGTAACGTTATATTATTGTAATATTATATTGTAACGTTAATTAACAGTTATTGTACGAATTCGAGTCGAATATAAGCTGATAGCCGATGGAGCGCGTACCGCCCAATCGGTTATCGCTCATATTTGACGAGAGTTAGTGGAATAACTGTTTTATTATATATATACAAGTTCTGAATTCGCAGACTTTGCTTTTCGGATATTTTCAATAGTTTTCTATTTTGTTTATGTTTTTTATCGTCGCTCTTTCGGCCGATTATTTTTTCAAAAATAGATATTTTTAACCGTTTAAAATTTTAAAATTTATTTGCTTACCTGTAAACAATTTGTGGGAGTTTTTCGTTGTATTTTTAATCCTATAATGGCTATAAAAAGCGAACAACTTGCAGTTTTCTCGTTCGCAAAACATCGGAAATAAGGGAAATTCAATTTCAGCCGCCATTTTGTTTTTTTTTACTAGCAGTATGAGCTAAAATTCTGCCAGTAGAGAACCAATCAGATTGCAGAATACCTCATATCCAGACTTTCTGTATATAATGATAAGAATTACTCCATATCCATACTGATTAGTTTCGCTACAGTTAAACTCACTACTATGAACACTTAAGGGAATGTCAGAAGCAACAAACTCGTACAAAAGCGTGTTGTTCATAAAATGTAAAAAAATTGTAATTAGAAACGTAAAGACATAAATTGCAACATTATATAGGTGAAGATCAAGGAAGCATTCGTGAAAACAAAAAGACATTATGTCTCGCGTTTACTCGATTGACGTAGTGGGGATATTAGATTTTCAAGGTGAAATGAGAGCCTGCACTGATGACATACAATTTTGAATATCTACCCCGTAACGCTCGTTTTTCGAAATATGGAATGTTTATCCTTATATGGTGTTGTTTACAACTTTCGTGTGAACTAAATTTAGACCGTACAGTTTGTACTATTTTTCAAAATATAAGATATTCAAGCACAAATTTAAATGTTTTAGATACGGTTTTCTCAAAACAGAACATTTCGTGTTGTAATATGATTAAGATGGCCAATACCTATTTGATCAATTAATGTGTTTTTTTTATGCATAGTGCTTTAGCAGTTGGCATATAGTGTTCAGCGGAAGCATATAAATTATAGCATCTAACCAATGAGAATTTCGCGTCCCGATTCGAGACGCAGATATTCAAAATTGTATGCCCCCAGTACAGGCTCTCATTTCACCTTGAGAGCTTGCTCGTAGGCTAGAATTTCATGAACAAGATACACTCAAGCGACGTTTTTGTCAACACGGACGTCGGACTGCCGATAGGGACTGGATTGAAAACTGTGTTTGTATCAGTTTGTGTTAATCTTCAACACATAGGACAAAACATAACATTTTTAAAGTTTTTCGCTTCCTTACACTTGCGCTATAATGTAAAATGCGGCCAAAATTAGATACACCAATTTTCGGTGACGTCCATGTTGATAAAAACGTTGCTTGCTTAAGCCCACTATTGACTGTAGAGAGAGAGCACGAGTAATTTACGAGTGTAAAGAAAAGTTGGGAACGGTGTAGGCTACATGTGTTCAAACTTTGTAAACGAATTAAAAATTTGTGATAACCATACATGTTTCAAAATGCGTGTGAATTTTATGTTACTGACGTTAGATATTATTTTTTTTATTTTTTTCCGGTCCGGAATCCCAGGTCCATAACGTAAACGGAGCCTTCTGATTGGTTGAGGTCATTTCGCACACGTCACCTGACGTACTTGGCTGATGCTTTCCGGAGGTGGGGGATGGGTGTGGGCAGTTGAATGTTTGCCCAAATATTTATGGAGGGTAGTAAGGAAATAACCTTAATTTAACATATTTTCTGATCATCAGCCGGAATTTTTTCCCTTGCATTTGCCCGAATTTCCACCAGCAACCCCCCCCCCCCTTTCTGCCTCTTGCCTCGTACTCCTATGCACGTTGCGGACCTTTCACGTTTCGCGCCAAACCAAACAGAAGCTATTAAGAGTGAATTAAGGCAGTTTCAAAAAGAAGCTGAACTGACTGCACTGAATTTAATGTCAAGCCGGAAATATTCTTTTTTCCGATCAAAATGCGGAACTAACAAGTATTTATTATATGGTTTTTCAAAATTCCCTATTTTGAATGGTTGATAGGCTGTCCATAAAAACCCATATCCGGAACGTGGTCCGTATTTTTCGTATCTGGACCGGCGTGCCGGATTTCGTTTATCTGGCGGGAAATTTTTACTTTGTAAACATAAAAACATTTTTGCTTTATAAATTTCCGATTGTGCTTTACGGATAAAAATTTCAAACAACCAAGTTGTTTTTGATTGAGCATGCATGCCTACCGTATATTGTTACCCAGTGAAACTGACGATAGTCGATTTAATTCGCACGAAGAGGCATATGCTCACAAACTCAGTTCAGCCATATAATAAACCGATTATTGACCTCGCTTGTTCGGTCTCTACTGTGAAATATCAGACCTCCGTTTTTTTTGCATGGACCTCGCTTCTTCGTCGCTCGGTCCATACTAAAAAACCTCGGTCTGATATTTCACAGTACAGACCTCACACTCGGTTGAGCCTTCGACATACAGCTAATGCAAAAAAGGTTGTCTTTTGCAGACCTTAAACTCTAGACCTTAAACCTTAAACTTTAAGCGTGCAAAGCATAATGGGAGCATCATTTAATCAGTTTAGAAACAGTGGCGGAAATCTTGGTGGGGCAGAGGGGCGGCCGCCCCCACCCCCCACCTTCACGGAAAATTGCCGAATTTTCGGAAATTTTGACCTAAAAGAGGGCTAAAACAGTCTTTTCGAGTGCAAATTGTGTGTGTGTGGGGGGGGGGGGTACGTTGGAAATTTGAAAGTTTTGTCGGAAATTTAGGAGACTTTGACCCCCCACCGCCACTGTTTAAAAATCATAATGGGGTCCATTTCTTAGAGAATATTTCCTTATTTCCGTATTTCCTTACGAGAAAAATTCATTCACAAAAAGCTGCAATATTCAACTACTAAGCTTGAAACTCGTGCTCCCATTAAGCTTTGCGTGCTTAGAGTTTAAGGTTTAAGGTTTAGAGTTTAATTTAAGGTTTGCAAAGGACAACCTTTTTTGAATTGGCTGTATAATTATCGAAAAATAGTGCTAAATGTTTAGTTTCAAAAGCTCAAAAAATATTCAGCTATATCTACTTTGAGGCACATAGCCTACGTTAAAATACAAATACCGAAACTGAGGACTTAATTACCATCAAACGTAAAAAAATTAAAATACCTTAAACGGCAGTTTAAACATAATTTTTAGACTCATTTCAGTCACATATTTTTTACAAATGTTGTCATTGTTGTGTCGAAAGAACATTTTTGAAGCGTGTTATATGCTAAAATTATCAGGAAAATAAATAGTTTTAATAATTTTACCTCTTTATTGTTTTGTTTAGCAGAAAATCATCTATATTGCATTCAAAAGTAGGTGCCTTTTATCTTGTCGTTTTAGCAATAGGTCAGTTATGCTTGGACTATTGTAACAACCACATTTGATCTCAATAAATCTTGTTCGAACAACGGAGTTTTTAGTGTGTTTACATGTTACGTTTGCATCCATTGACATACGGTTATATCTTATAATATTAATTAATATGCGTGCGGACATAGAGTGAAAATGTTATAGCGAGGTTTTGTAGAAAATTTTTTTAGCCGCTTGTCTTCAAAAATGTCGGATTCAGAGAGCGATTCTGACTCCCTGAAGATAATTTTACTGCAGGTATATGGTTTGCCAGTACTCCGTTCTTACCGTTCTGAATGCCCTTCAAAATCGACTGCTGTATTTAATTAAACATTCCTGTTCTTTCTGAAGGAACACAAGTAAGTATTACAATCGTTACAGTTTTCTCCAATATTATTTCTGATCACTTACTCTGTTATTGATCGATCACTTACTCTGTTATTGATAACCGCTTGGACGTTATTTTATTTCAGTATTGCCAGTGTAAAAACACATGCAGCTGAAAGAGTGTGAGAAAGAAGAGAGGTTAATTGTCCTTGTCGAGACGAAACGTTGTTCTGCACTGATAAATGTTTTATGGAACTGTATAAAGCGTCATGGAAAAATAAAACAGAATCTGCGATCAACAACGCGAAATCAAGCATGCGAAAGCTCCTAGAAGTTCTCATAGGAATTTTATTATTGTGTTGTGCATTGTGGAATATTATTAATACCCTAGATAAATCTATTGTATAATCGGAATTCGTATCTTTAATTGCCTGCCATTGACAAAAGCAAAAAGCAAAGGATCTCTGGGTAACTTGTAATTCCAAATGACCTGCCCGGTGTGGATATACACTCAGAGTAACATCACAAGCATCTTATTCATCTGAGTACATTACACCAACGCAGCAAATATTATGAAATATTTACTAAACAAAAACATAGCATCCTGGCACAGCTCTTATCAAATAGTATTGGCAGTGTGGACTATGCAACGAAATTGCTAGAATTTTGGGGACCTATGCCAGAGTTGTCCGTTACGTACGAAGCCTAATTCGCGACTTCAACCCTCAAAACACGTGTAGTTGTCACGTGATTAAATTTGTAAACAAATCGCGAAATGCGGACAATGAGCAATATTCAACATGGTTGCCACAAAAGTTGTGCTTTGGGCACTTGTAGGAATGATTCTAGATACCCGCATTTATTAACAAAGAATGAAAAAGGAGATGAAGTCCGCTTTTGTCGTTTTCCTGCTCCTAAAAGATGGATTGTGGCATGTCATTGCGACGATTTCTTGTCATTGTGTGCGGATCGAAAGCAAGCCCGTAGCTGGCTCTCAATTTCTGGGCGGGGGGGGGGGG